GGTTTGCCGTTAACTTACAACTTAAAAGCTAAATCTAAAAATTATTCGTTTTTATGGGGGGCTAGACAAATTCTTCTGTACCTTTTTTTTGCAATGTTGTCCAAAGGTGAAGCCTACTTTAATTGGTGGTTAGCTTGCTTGTACCTTTCGAATTTTTCGTTTTCCATCCCATACAAGTGGGACGCACGTTCCGAATCGGTCGTCCTCATCGGTCCAAGATCTCGACGGATTTACAACGTTACGCTGTTCCTCCATTCGACCTACTTCGTCATAATGGCGACCCATCTGGCCATGAATTACGGATCCATGGAATTACCAGAGCTGCTCAAAGGGCTCGTCACCCTGCTCGCGTCGGGCTTCATGGGAATTTCTCGGACAACATTTTTCTTCTGGGAGAAAGATTTTCTGCTCTTGTTTAATGGATTTCTCAATTTTGAAAAGGTCTTTCTGAAACGTATGAATTTCTTTTATCTTAGAATGGATGTCTCTGAAAGTATGATTTTGGCCAAGCTGGTGTCAATCGATGACAAACTTAATTAGTATAGTAGGAAATTTGCAAATGGCACTATCGGCTAATATACGTATGTCTGATGTTTGCATAAAAAGGGGAGAAAATGCGCAGTAAATTTGAAAAAATTCCAACTTTTACCCCTTACGCCACATAACTTTTAACAAAAAAATGACGGGGTCTAAATAGACGAACTATAATTATTTTCATCGGTACAAAATCGGTGACATATACGTTATTTCATATTAAAACTGGTACACGGCTGATTAGAATCTCGTCCTATATCTTTATTTACCAGGTTTCACTAACATCGATCCCTCCGTCCGTAAACGGTCCCTTTTCAGATGCGTCGTCTTCTTCTTTGGGACCTTCACCTGTGCCACTTTTGGTCTGGTTGTGGCCTTCCTGTTGTGGGTGCGACCCTGCACACCGCCCTATTTGGGGTCAATGACGTCGATTTGTCTGTCTGGAAAGGAGCCCGTGGCAAAAACTTGGTTTGAATACGGAATAAAAATCGCGACTGTGTCGTTCGAGGGAATGATGTGGTTCCACATGGGCCCCCCGTGCTGTTTCGCGATAGGAAATGCATTTCAATCCTTTTCGCTCTGTTTGAAGAAATATTTGATGATCCTGTCAAAGTAAGGATTAAAGATAATTTTACACTTTTAATCTTTTCCTGATTAGTCGATACCATAGAATTGGATACTTTAATAGACGGAGTTACTGCGAGAAAACAAGGCCAGATTTGCAAGAATAAATATGTATGAACAATTATGGATAATCGATAAAGCATTAAAAAATTGCTGATGGTTAAAATGGTTAAAATTTCGAGCTTTACAGTTAATAAAAATTAGTAAATTGCTTTTAAGAAATACAGAAAATAAAAAAAAATAAAATAGAAAGAATTCACCACGTGGTGTGAACGCTCATGACTTTCCAATTCTTCTTTTTGAAGGCTTGGATAATCGCAGTTAAATTATGCCTCAATGTACCTAAAATGTGCGAGGCTTTACTTTAACCTAATGTGTACTGTACACAGTGTACAAGTAAATTCCTCTTCTTAAATATTCAACTCTGTGTTGACGAATACCTATACATCTCAGGGATGACTATCTCATTGGAGTGACTTGGAAAATATTTTTTTTCGATGTAAATTAAAATTTCATAATACTTAATTTTTATTTAGTGAAGTAAGAAAAACTCCCAGCAACAAGGACGACCAACTGCTCTCCATTTTCGCACAATATTCGCAACTCCAACTCCTAGTAAAGCAAATGAATATCACGTTTCAAGATTTTTTCACCCCGGTGGGACTCTCCGTCTGCTCGAACGCCCTCATCTTTGCTCTCTACGTGTGCATCAGGCTGCATGATGTCATTCCGATGCCGGGATTCGTATTTTTTCCAATGATCCTGGGCGACGCGATGTTAATAATTGGAGTCGATTTCGCTTCTGCTGGCCCCGTCTACCTGACTTCAAAGGAAGTTTCGTCACAATGGAAGATGTTGGCGGGGAAATCGCAAGCGAAACGGAAAGCCAGATCTTTCTGCCCACTTAAAGTCAGGTTTGGAATGAATTTCATTGATGAATTGACTTCTTTAACGATCCTGGATTTCTCCGTGGGTCAAACTGTCTCGCTGCTGGTGATGAGTTAAATAAAGTTGTTTCGCAATTTTTGTGGAGAGGATGATTCAGGGGGATCGGTGAATTCCAGAGGGTTTTGAACTCCAGCGGGGTAAAATATTTACATATACACTCTAAGAAACCTGGTGATAACGCTACCGCGTGGTGACATGACTCTACCGGAATAGTGATAGCGGTGGTGGCTACCTCACCACATAGTGGTAGCCTACCACTATGTGGTGAGGTAGCCACCACCAACCTGTGGCATCCTGCGCGATCACCATTCCGGTAGAGTCATGGCACCACGCGGTGAGCGTTATCACCAGGTTTCTTAGAGTGTAGGTAAATTTCCTTACCAACATAAATTTCTAAAGTTAGTTAATTTAACATGCCAAACACTATAATCCGAATATCAATTTGGAATTGCAGGACAGATTTATGACTTGTTTGGCAAATAACATTTACATAATTTCATCAACCAAGCACAAAATCTTGCACGTCGACTCCTTTTTAAAATTGCTGCGAACGGTTTGCGCTGCGATGAAATTTCGTATTCGTCTTCAATGTAAAACAGGATTATGGGACCCATGCAAACCTTTTTCATTGAGGAAGACATGGGTAACAAAATCTGGAAGAATATACCTCTAACAGAAGAAATTAGTGGTTGTGCACAGTGTGCACGACACACAATATTATTGAAGATAAAATCTTCAAACCAATATCCAAACCTTACCGCTTTGCGCTAAGATTGCGAAGAAAGCAGCCCCATTACGTGATTTTGGGTGATGCGAGCGTAGCGAGAGATTGGAAGGAGAAAACTGAACAAAGAGAATTGTTTACGTATATGCTTGGGCAAACTGTAGTAGATGTAAATTCATTCAGTCCTGTGAAGTATAAATATATATCGATCTAATAAAGTATGAAAGCTCACTGATCTTCACAACAGAGTGTATTACTTAATTAATTCATTGTAGTATATGTAAGTTGTAGCCTCAGAGTATGCACAACATATTATAATTTATATAACAACGTATGCATATACATACATATGTATGTATGCATATATGTACATGTACATAAATTAAGTAATTTTATTGATATGTAAGCATGTTCTTCTATTTTATGTATGGGTGTATGACATGTAAATAAATACTACATACTTCAATAGCAATTGGACGTGGAAAATAGGGGTCATTCGTTATTTAACCATATTACATGAATCGTATTTTATATGGTTATGATTATCAGAGGATAAAATACGGGCGTGTTTACATGAGTTCGAATTTCATGTATTGCAAATTCGAGGAAAAAGATTTTCATGGAATCGTCAATTTCTAATTTCATGAGATTTAACTGAACAATATGTTCAGTTACCTAACTGAAATCATATTACATATGGATATGTATACATAATGTAGATAATTGTGTGGCGCAGTGTAAAAACAAATAACCTTTCCAATTTGCATTTCTAAATAAAAACGAAAAGTATAAGTACGTATGTAAGTTCGAATGTTGTAATACAATTTATTGAAAATTTCCATATTAACTTTCCTCATTTGTATACCCATGCTCTTGACAAACGTTTGAAATTTGTACATAGTACATAAATACTTTGAAATTTTAAAAATTTCGACTTATGTACCTTTACCTATCTACATACATACATACATGGCTTTAATGATTCGTTAAATATTTAGTGTAAAGTCATCCATACTTTCCGGTAAGCCAGACATATCTGTTCACACTAAAACTGTGAACTTGACAGTTATTCATTCCCTTTCATATATACAACTTCCCCGCGAGGGGCATTGCATAAAGGGGGTCATCAATTTCAGCGATAAGGATTATAGATCCGTCCCCATAACCAGATGCATAGTTATAATACAAGATATGCCAACTGGAGACAAATTCTCAATAATTTTATCACGTTCCTTGTGTCACGTCCGTTACGAAACCTTGGCTTACTTTTAACACCAACACGATTGCTTCGTGTTGTGGACTCAGAATTTGACTTCATTCATATCACTCATGCATATATACATAGGCATTTAAGGAGTTAAATTGTACATAAATAAATAAATACGTTTATACGTGTGTATGCTGTTTATTCATAGCATTTTAATTGGACAGTTTAAGAATCAATTGACTCACGACCAGTGGTCGAGGAATCCGTGGGGCATACGGGGTCGCATAATATTGTAGAATAGGGAAGGGTGAGGGGTTTATATAACATGGACAGATGATGTGGAGTCGGATAATCGTGGGGATACCCTCTGTCCCCACGCATCCGCGGCCATTGCTCTCGACAAATTAAAAACAACATGTTTATGTAATACCCATCTTCCACTCGCATTTCCAATCATTCATTTCGCTTTGATTTATATTCGTCGAGTAGACCTTGCCCCTGCCACTCATTCGAATTTATGTATGCTTTTGCCAGATGTAAATTTTCCATGGGGGGCTGTGCTGGCAGGATGTGCCGCACATTTAGCTGATTAACATACATACTTCTAGAAAGGTGGGATACTCAGGCAGGTACTGATTTCTCGGGGGATAAAGTTGCTACCGCTTAATATAAAAATTACAGAGCTCCAGGAAGTTGCTACCGATCTGGTAAATCTTTTCCACAGAGCTATTTATTACTAAACGGTACCACTTTGGTAGAGTTGTATATAAATACCAGTGGTATTATACCACATGGCATTATCTTAATACTGGAGTTATCTTATATGTAAGTGTATCAATCTTGCCGTTAAGTTTACGCCCCGGTGAGATTAATATGCACGAAATACACATCTTTCCTGCACAACCCATCATTCATTTAACTCAATTAATTTTTATAACCTCACACGAATCTCAAGTCCAGTAGCGAACTGGTCCAGACCAGAAGAAGTGACAGAGTAATATTTGTTGTTAAGGAAATCCTTGCAAAATGAAATTGTGGATGAGAATCGTCTTCATTTTTATCGGCTTTTTCGAATCTCTGACCATAACGGGCATCATATTTGGATGGCCCGCCTTACTCCACGTATTTCAAATTGAGGGGATTTACTCACATTTGTGCCTAGAAGAAGATGCACAAAATGGGAATGGAACGGCACAAATTGCGGCCAACACATCCGTCACGACTGTTATTGTAAGAATTACGAGAATTAATATTGATGTAAAAATGCAAATACACGTGCACACTATTAGAAAACTTGTGTTAAATCATTACTGCCGGGAGAACATATTTGTCTACCGGCACTGGTAAAATAATATTGTGGTAATGAAAACTAACGAATCAGAAAAAAAAATCCGGTAGGAAGCGATAACCAAATCAATCCCAGTCCGTAGTATATACGACAATGTACGTACTTAGCTTTACCAGATTTTAACCGTGCATAAATATGAAAATTATGAATTTGGAAAAATGTGACAACATTTTGCTTACCACAGGGAATGCATATTTATATTAAGTAAATATTGAAATGATTAGGTGATTAAACAAAGATAATTTTTCCTTGCAAAATTTTAGCGATGTGCAAAACAAGACAATATGTACGGCCTATTGTACACAGTGATGATTGGCCTGTACGGAATACCCTCAGCACTCATCGGCTTCTCACTGGACTCTCTGGGGCTCAGATTCACGCGAATTTGTGGCAGGTAATTAATGTTTACATACCTTATGTCAAATTTATAATTTAGTAAAACTAATTAATGTTTTATTTATTTAGCACAATGATGATGGCTGGCTATGCATTCGTCGCTTATGCCACGCAAGGTGCAAACATTTGGTTATCCTCATGTCTTAAAATTAGTTGTCCAATTTGGTATTTAGACAATTAGTTCCAATTTTCTGAAGCCAAGTAAGCACTTACTATTATTTTTCAGACACACCTTGGACGGTTTGGCCGGGAATGTTGGCCATATCTCTTGGATCCAACGCACTCCGATTGTGCAGTCTTCAGTGCGGTAATGCCTGGCCGGAGAAGCGGGCGACCATCATGTTTTGCTATACATCCGCCCACGCTGCGTCTACCCTTGTCTTTCTAATGTTCCAGGTAACCAACAACAAACCTTATTCGTAAGGCAACAAAATAATACAATTAAAAAATATGTATCATAATTATTTTCCCATGGATTTGTTTACCATTTTAATGTTTACTTTAAAATGAAAACTTTGATATCAGTACGCCAACGCTGCAGGAGTTTCGTTATACTACACGGGTATCTTTATGACTGCCTTCTCCGGCCTCTCCTTCTTCGCATCATTCATCCTGCCGAAAATAAAAGTGGAAGAGAATAAGGCTTCTCCACCAAAGGATGACCCCGTGAAGGATATCGATCTCCAAATCTTACCTGTATCCGATACGGACAAGCAGGTTAATTCCGAACCCGAGAAGCCGAAGGTTATCCCGTTGTCCGAATCTGTGAAAACGATGTCATTCGCATTTCATAACATTTGGCTACTCAACATTTACATGACTCGGTTCTACATTACCAGCTTCAACACGTGGGCTTGGAAAACTACCAGCGATCCGAATCAAAGTATGGTGATATTTTTTTTATTTGACACATTTTCTACAGGAATGGAAACCTTGATGCACGTTATAGTAGGCATATTTTTTACATTATGCAAGCATGTTTCAGAAAGTTTCCGTATTTATCATACTGCAGAGCCTTATAGATTTGTTTGCATAATTTTTTATTTGATGCCGCTTTGATGTGTTAAATTCTTGTACATATACACATAAAAATATTGTAATTTTCTTTCTGGAATTTCTTTTCTAGTCGCCTTTTACAACTCGTTTACTGGACTTTGCCTACTAATCTCACCTTTCATCTCGCCGGTCGGAGGAATTATTACGGATTACTTGTTAAACAAGGCGAGTAAAAGTAAGTTGCTCAATGAACATATGTACATATGTATTTATGTACATAAGCTTCGACTTGTACAAAACAAGACACTAATCCCAATTTGTCAATTAACTTTCCTTGCAGAGAGTGATCCCGTGGAAAGATTAGCTAGTACTTTTCAAGCGCCCATATTTATTCTGACAACGACCACGTTTCTTATGTTTGCTGTCTACGTGTGCAAGGTGTCATACTCTTCGAACGCTGTTTACGCCTCGATTGTCCTCATTTCCATCGTGCGACCGGTTTCTGTCGCAAGTTTGTATTCATATGTTCGGATAAGGTATGTAGGCTTCCTGTATAATGCAATTAATAATCTTCACATTTATGTAGTTATAGCGCGATATTAAGTATCCTCTTAAAAATAATATTTCCATTTTGAAAAGTAAAATCACCCTCAATTTCATATTACGCAAGCTATAATAAACCCAGAATAAGACAACTATGATAGATCAAGAGTAAAGGCTACTCTGGATTTTATATAGTTTACTTAACATTGAACGAGTGTAATTCTTTTTGTAAATTTACTCACAATGAAATGGTGTGAAATGTGTTACCCTCCGATTTTGGTGAAATCGTAAAATTGTGTGGTCCAAGTCAAACAACCAACGTTTCTGCGATGACGCAGGTTCTGCAATGGTTCAAATATGTCAAAAATGGACAATTGTTTCCTTTTCTAGAACTATGAGGTGAAATATGCTTTTCCGTTTGGTAAAAATCTCCCATTTTGCAACCTTGAAATTTGAATTCAAGTTTTAACAGATTCCAAACATCGCACAAAATGTCTTAAGGGACTTTGTATTAACTTGGACGACACAATTTTAAAACTTCAACCAAATCGGAGGGTTACACTTGACACCATCGCACTGTCAGATGTTGAAAATTGCTTTGTCCATTTATAGATTTTACCCGGAGCATTTTAATCGTCTAACAGGGATTGCATTTACCATCATATCCATAGTCAGTCTCCTCCTGTATCCGCAGTACTTGTGGCTATTTTACGCGGACGAGTCATACGCATGGGTAATAAATAGACACATATTTTCATTAGCATGAATCCATGAAGTACATGGTTTTTTAATATTTCAGGCCAGCTACACATTCTGCTTCCTCATTCTCCTCACATTCAGCAGTCCGGGCCATTTATTAATTTCACGATTTCCAAGACGATTTGCGGCTCAAGAAATTAAAAACAGAAAATAAAATATATATGTGTCATTTCTTGCAAGCACCAATCTAAATTCGCCAATCATAAATAAAATGCTGAACAATAGCTCTATAAATCGTAAACTTACTATTTTCTTTATTATCCTCTGACTGATAAACATCCTTAATTTTATGCAAATTAACATATATGTACCTGCAGACCGTCCGATGATATGATCAAATACTATTTAAAATTGTTATTTTCTAATCATTATAATTAGTATAAGTGTTATTCAAACGAACAACATGTGTGTCAAGCTTGGTCCATCTTGTCATCACGCCCTACTCCCAGTCCGACTATTTGATTTGTCGGAACGTTATATTTTCATACATACGTAAAGCTTCGACAAGGCATTAAACCAATCTTTTTTTGGAGCAGAATACGATGGAGACGCAAAGTATGGAAATCACTTAAACCATGAGACTGGATGAAATCAATCATTTGTGCTTCCAAGGGTATCGTAGAAAGCCTAATCGTAGATCGCTACAAGAATGAAATAATAGGTCTACATAGTCGGATTTGTATTGCGGTATATTACTCAACTGTAAGTCACTACATCATTGTCAATAAAATCCTGACAATTCCCCTGGATAGTCCTCTAATGAAGAATAAGATGGACAGCTTGTTAATCTTAAATCGAGATTGGTCCCCAATTTGTAAAGGTTTGCAAGATTTTAGGAACCTTGACATATACTTTTTATCTTCCTTCTTCCATCCCAGTTGCTTCCACGATTTTAAGGTTTTAACGTTCTGAGCAAAATAGTACCCTCCAAACCCAAGAATAGTTCCCCACCATAAAAAGAACTCAATGATGTATAAAGAAATTAACAATATCGTTTTTCCATGCATATGTGATGAATGTTGTATAAGAATAGCTGATGGAAACATGATCAGCACATAAACCAACATGTGCAAGGGCAAGATCAGTTTTCCATAATAATCCATTTCGAAATAATGCAGAAGTTCAAAACACCTGTACTGGTGTGGCAAGTTGTCTCTTGACCGCAAGTTATATTTAGTTCGATTTTGTTTATATCCGCTCTTAGATCTTTGGACATTATAGGTGTACCGTAGAGTACATGAGTAAATATTGCTTGAAGATGTGTACTAAACAGGATAGATGATTGTGTAACCATTGTCCAGTATCCCAGTGATATTAGGGCCAGGATCACGTGTTGATTTTCTGGGACCAAAGATGAAAGATACATAGGAGAATGTGGAGCCGTGGCTACGTGTAATGCAAGTGCGATGGGAATGAGCATCATGAACAAATTAATCATCACCAGTATTATATCAAGCATTAATGCCGAAGTCCTTGTAAACGATTTTGGTATATTCCACTTCTCTATTAGGGTTAATCAGACAATACATGAAACATTCATAGTTATAAGAATCTCTAATGCTCAGTTAGAAATTTAAGGAGCGAGATTCTGTATTCCGTAATATAAAAGTATTCGTAGGCACAACTATGCTTACCGTAGTATCCCCTTAAATAGCTGAGTAACATGTTTAAAAGATCAGATGACTCCTGGGCTTGCAAGATGTTTAACATCATAGCCAGAGATGTAAAGCTTATATAACTGAAGAACACGACAACGTTGCTTACTTCTTCCATGGTACACGAACTTTTGCACCTGAGGCTTTGTATCGCTAAAAATACTGCGTGCAAGAAGTAAATTGTCAATGTGGAGCGGCTCTTCCAATGAAGAAATCTCGACCCGCTAACTTTGGTTGCTTGATTACCTGCGTCCCAGGTCAAGACAGTTATACCGAAGAACTTTCCAAGCCGAAAGTTGAGGCTAAGTAATTGAAAATATAGATTGGAAAACGGCTTCATATTGGTCGAATGTTTAGTACAAAGTAGAGATTTAACATATGACTTATATTTCCACAAATTCATTTTGACTATTATTCAAATGTATCGACCTTTGAACAGCTCCGTAGATATTAAATACGAGAAGTAAACCAGTACACTGAGTTTGAAACAATACCTTACAACGAGAGATTGCCTTACAAGATTGAAGTCAATGATCACAGTAGAGATATAATAATTAGCATAGCTTTGAATTGACACAGTCGCAACAAACAGCTTAACGCCCATGCCCACTCAGGAGTTCAAGCTGAAAGATGTAACAATCATTCATTATAAAACTGAATTATGTAGTAGCAAAATCAATGAATGAGTCTACATGAACACAACACTGAACCACGACATTTGAGTTTAAACTATTGAATATTACTGAATTCAATCTGGGCATCTAGAAATATATGCATGGGCAATAATTCCTTTTATATTGAAAATTCTCTACAGAAGCTTTTATAAACTTAACATGTCTTTTTCACTAGTTATTTAGTTTGCATTTTGATTTTTATTTTAATATTGGGAGTTATATAACGAAGTCAGCAGCCCGACGTGGAAACCTTGGCACAATAAAGGCTTTGTAATATTATCATCTAAAGTACCCGTTTAAAACTTATTACATATATGTACATGCATTAAATGTTGCTATGTCTGTCTTACATTTCATATTTTTATTAATGTTTATTGATTATTAGTATTCTTCTTAAAGTTAAATGTGTATATTCTTCGTTAAAAGTAAAATTTTGTTGCAAGAGTATTACTTCTTGATTAGCCTAATTAGATTACAAGAGCAAGGCAATGTCTGTCGTCTTTTAAGTTAACTTGAAGCCATTTGGCAAAAATGTATATGTAAGAAGTCGATTTATGTATGTACTAAGAATACGAACAATTGTGCATTTCGATATGTATTGACTGTTCATGTGTTATGAAGATACACATGTAAACATTACAGACTACAGATTACATGTGTATACTGTATATGTACATTTGTAGGTATGACTAGGAAACGACAGGCCAGGTAAATTAGTTATGTGGTATACATTAGGGTGTCCCAATATTGTAAAAAAAATCGCTTTTTCCGTTCACGATTTTTTCGCTCTTTTTGTAAACCGCACTGCGCATGCGATTCCGATCTTTTTTCCGCTTTTTCTGCTCAAAAATAAAATCTACTTTAAGATGATTTTTTCGCTCTTTTTACTACTTTGAGTGAAAAATCAGTCTCTCAGAGACATGTTTAAGGGGACATCATCCGATTTTGATGCCCTATGGAATAATTTCAATAAAATGTGAGTGTATGGAAAGTGAAGGAGGATTTTACTCCATGGCCCCACCTGCGCCCGCCACACCCCCTGAAAAGCATTGCAACCACTAAAACCACCGCATTCAAACCTTTGCCAAAAATCCTATTTTCATCCCATTTTGGTAATTTTTGGATTTACATGATCTTAGATAGTTGTTTTATCATATCCAACATGAAGCAAATTTTAAATTTTAAAAGAAACTCCAAAGTTTCCTACCACCCAAAATAGGGACAAAGACTTATTACCTAGTCTAAACACCTAAAATAGGGATGCATCATAAAATTATGCAAGAAATGTGACAACCAACTGCGTGAAATGAAAAAGCCGTGATCTTTGACAGTTTTAACATTCATCTCAAATGGTCAAAATTTGACCGTCAAATATAACGTGTTCAATTTTTCTCTTAAACTTGTCTAAAGTGCACGAAGAAACAGGTAATGAAAAGATACATTTTCCAAGAAATATTGCAAATTTTAGATTATTAGCAATCTTAATTTAACGTGTTTCAGATCCTTCCTATTTAGCGTATATACGTTTAGTAATTTATGTAGGCGCCGCCGAAGATAGTTGATAACCGCGCCGCGGCGCGCCGCCGCTGCCGACCAATATACATTTTCACGCCGCCGCCGCCGCGTAAACTGTCGGCGTTGACCTCTGATATGGTAGCATTTTAATTGGACAGTTCATTTATTTTTAATTAGACAGTCTAAGAATCAACTCACCACGGATTGAATAAACACACTGTTGGTATTATCCATATTTTCTCGTATTTCCTGTCATTCATTTGATTCAGGTGTTTTTGATTTATATCAGGGTTAGGAAAACCCCGGGGTTTTTCTAGAAAAACCCAACCCGGGGGTTTTCCCACGGTTTTTGGGGTTTTTGTGGGATTTTGTAGATTGTGGGGCCTGGGTCTGGTTGAACCAGAATTCCTAAAATTATATATCAGAGGAAAACTAATTTAATCTACAACAATGCAATTTTAAGCGTTATCATTGACTTGGACTATTTGAACTGTTAAATCTAAAATTCATATTTATGCATATCATTATGTAACATGTAAACCTTGAAATATGCAATTAAACTTTGAAATTCAAGTCGCACATGAAAATTCTCAAAATTTCATGATGAATCATAAAATTTAATTAGCATTTATGATCATTGATCGAAGTTGTTGTTTGAGGGATTTTATTTCAATTTGCCCCAAAATCCTACAAAAACCCTGAAAAAACCCGCAAAAACCCGGGGTGGCGAACCCTTATTTATGTTTGTAAGCTAGACAGTGTCGTTACCACTTATTCGAATTTATCCATTTTTTACAACATATACATTTTCTTCAGGTGGCAGTGCTGCTGGCAGGATGTGTTAACTTTCGGCGACTACAACGAACCTTCAGAATTCTTATTTTCTAACATGTAACGGTCATTCTTCAATTTCTAAGGTGATTTGCTCTAAGGAAGTTAGAAATTGTCAATGAAATTTTAACTATTCGATCATGCCTAGATATTTTGCAAAATAAGGTACCCCAGAACATGTAAATAAAATACTTAAAATTTACTGCATAAATCATCAACTTAATGACACAAATCAAACAATAAATTTACTAAACTGTTTTTGCATTTGATTACACTCACTTTATTTGTTTCGAATGCGGATATTTGACAAACAATATTTGTTAAAAGTTGCCAACTGAGCAGTGTATTTACATATTCAGGTAAATATTTATGTATCTCAAAACATCACTAACCACATACTTTTCATACAGTTTTTGGGTCAACGGGTAACAGATAAAGATAACAGGATAAAAATGAAGTTCAAATAAAAATATGCTTTCAATATGAGCAGCTTTCTAACTCTTGTCGCATTTACATAGGTACAGCCCGTGCCATTTTTTAACTTCCCGATTTTGAATACGATTTGCGGGTCAGGAAATTAAAAATAGAAAATACACTTTAAAGTGGTTTATGCTATCTTCCAAACACCAAATAATGAAATAATTTATTCTAAAATTACATTTATGTGAGTATGTCAAATCAAATTAATTTTACGATATTTATTGTACTCCAATACATAATTGATCCGTTTGCATATTAAATCCAAATAAAATTTATACACCCTATATTGTTTTTTTTATAAAAATTTGAAAAAACACATACTTACTTACATATTTACTTTTCAATTTACATAATGCAACAACTTTTCTGCCGAGTTTCTGGAAAATTTTGCAAATATTTTTCAGCCGCATCTACCAGCGCCTCACCGGAGAGGGCCATTTCTTTGAAAAACATTACCTTTACGTTTTCAGTTTTGTTCTCCAGGATGAGCAGCTTCAGCTCCTGAATTTTATCGGGTTTAGCATTTTGATTTTTTAAGGCGTGGAGAAACTCGTTTGCAAATCTTTTCTCTTCAATTTGAAATTTTGCTTTCTGAAGCTCAAGTTCTTTACGAAAAGTTTTCAATTCCTTCTTATACTTCTCAATCAGTTTGTCACTTTCACTGATTGTGTGCGAAAGTTTTACATTTTCGGCGAGAAGTTGTTTGATTTTTTCTTCCTGTTTTGCTATTACTGCATCTTTTTCTTTGAGTTGGGACTCGTAGTTGCTTACGAGTAGCTCTACTTCATCGGAAGTAATAGATTACTGGCTTTGTTGTCGAGCTTTTACACTGCAAAAAGTCTGGTGTAAATCCTGCCCATAAATTTACACCGAAAACTTGGTGAGAATAATTCTCACCAAATCCGGTGGCATTTCACCCCCACGCACGACATCTCGCGGCACACACAGCATTTGTTTTTTTTCCTCACCAGCAAGCGGGGTCGATATTTACACTTTTGGAGTAATTTCATCCCTGTTCCGGTGAGAATTGGCCACGTTTTTTCTCGTCTGTTCTTCACCACTCCGCCATTTTGTCAGGCATGTCCAGCTCTACCATGTCCAGTCCCACCGTGGCGAAGGTAGTTAGAATTTCTAACGTGTCGAGAGGTAAAAAATTTGTGGTGGGGTTTGATAAAATAAAATACGAAGACTTCATCAATTTAGGTAAGTCAAAATTATTGTCCACTTTTATATATTTTGTAATTTCTGTCTAAATCTTTCCGACTTCTCATTTTTATTTTTTAGTGAGAACAAAATTCAACTTGCCAGAGGGGACTGAAATATCACTTCTAGACGAAGAAGGAGCAGAAGTAGACGAGGAGGTGCTGCCATTCCTTCTCGATAAGGCCGATATCCCCAATCTTATCTTTGTTGTGAAGGGCGAAGAATATTGCGCTGCATCCCACAACGTCGTGACTCCTCAATCTTCGTCACAAATATTTCCAGGTAATTATTGGTCGCAATTAATTCTAATAAATTGTAAGTTACTAATCTTCCTCGTCAAGATGTGGCGTTACCCCCACGTACATTCCCAACCAGAGGACAGGTCAGCGATTCATTTAAACAGGTAGTAAACGCTACATATTTAAGTGTATTTAATACTTTATTTAACAAAGTATTTTTGTCAGGTCCTGGAAAACTTGCTAGAGTCAAACCAACACCTTGCGGGCGTCGTCGCAGACTGCAACAAACACGGTTTCGTCGACGCAGCCTCATCCTCTTTCATCATTAAGGAATTTGTCACCAAACTGACACAGCTTAAAGGGTAAATATTTTTATTTATTTTTGATGGACGGTGACGTCACCCAATTAGTCTAAATTATTATTTTTTTATTCCAGGGATTCACCTTCCACGAGGGACCAGAAACTTCTTGCCCTAGCAATTGTGGAAATATTGCCATGTTGGAGATTCCCCACAACTACCGACGGAATTGTAACTTATTTATTTCATTATATCTTATAGTAGATCATAATATCATTAATAATAATATCAACGAGTTGAAAATTTTAAATTGATGAACTTTATTTCTTACAGGATTTACTTTTCGACGACGTTAATCGTTCGGGACTGATCCAGGCACGACTCCGCTGGATGCATCGTAATTTGAAGGAAAAAAATAATGTGGTCAAGTCAAGAGGAAAACGACCTTCAACGGCAATGATAGGAGGCCCACGGTCTACAAAACTCGTGTCGCTCGACCAGGATCAACAAAGCTATGAAGAACTTGTAGGGAAATTTAACGGTATCTCCACTAAGGCAGCGGTTGAAGAGATCAAGGCCTTAATGACTGCCACTCTTCCTCATAGGAATTTACTGCGCTCTACGAACGAATTGTCCATTCTCAAAATCTATAACAAATTCAAGGAGTGCAATTTTTTGGTATCGTTGAATATTTAAATGTTACCCATATCCATGCTTGTCTAATTTACATGAATTACCTATTTTTAATGTCAATTTAATTTATGAATTTAGGTGAACTATGAGTTTTATCTTCTACACCCTGAAGCTGAAACAAATTTTCTTGACACATGGCCTGCGCTCTCTGCATGCATAGTTGAGAAGGCGCCGAGTTTGACCAAGTCACCCTCATTACATAAATTTATCAATGAAGAGGCTGGTAAATTTGCAAAATTTATAAGGTTGTAGTTTCAAAACAATCACCTAATTTTTCCATCATTTAGAAAATTGGGACTTAACTTTGAAAGCACTATTTATCCTGCTTCATCTCATCCCACCAACTGCTCACGGGAAAGGAAAAGCAAACCGGTGCAATATTTCTCAGGCTGTGGAAAGGATTGTGACATTTCATAAGGTGAGTAAGCCATTAAATCGATTGACATACTCTTTAGTTATTTTATTCCATTATTATCCATTTATTTAACTTATTTTTCTGCATTTTGGTAGACACCAACGCCAGTCCAATCTATTCTGGATACCTGGAGTGCAGAAAAGACGCAGCCTAACTTGATTTGCCTTGGCGAAAACAGTGCCAATATTTCGTCTTTCTTTTTGACTCTCGACAGGACCCTAGTTCCACTCGACGCCACCACCTCCTTGGCAGCAGTTGACTCCCTCTTCAAGTCACATTTTGTCTTCGCCACGGAATACGATAAGAGCCTGATCGGGCTATGGAAATTTCTTCAGGTGTACGTTTATAAGGTTGATGTAGAGTCAACGACTATTCCTCCAAAAGCCAAAGAAGTCTACGTCCAGTTGTGCAGCTCATTTAATTTTTAGTGTTATTAGCTAATTAACTATGAGATAACTAACTTATTAGATAATTTGTAGATAGTTAATTAATTAGTTAAACCCTAAAATGTTCACCTGCCCGGTTTGTTCAAAGTGCTGCCTAAATAGTAAGGATATTCAATTACACTTAAAATTTAAACATAACTATGGCCGCTCTAATTTTCCAGGCCATGTTTGTCCAGAAATAAGCTGCACTAGAAAATTTTCTACTTGGTGTGGTTTACTGAAACATTTAAAGTTTCACAATAATAATGTACAGCGTGAGGAAGAAATTTACGAAGAAGAAAGCAATAACGAGCTACACTGATGTCAGGAATTATCCATCATTGGACAAGCTTATCGTTCAAATGTATATTTCTTAAAAAGTACAGTAGATATTCAAATACTTTTTTTTGTCACTAGTAGACCAACCAATTGGTAGTACAATGTCACGTAATCAGGTCTCAAAAAAATTTCAATATGGGGAAATAATGTCTTCTACCGCGAGCTTTCAAAATTCGGATGTCAGAAATTATCCATCATTTTTATTTAACTTCGTATTTTTAACAATCTTGTAATAAATGATCGGTAAAAGTAATTTTTAGTAACGTGTTGGCCCACCCTGAGCAGATATTACTGCTTGACAGCGGCGACCCATCGATTCGACGAGAGTCTTTGTCACTTCCGGGGTCACAGTTTCGAATGCATCCGAAATTGCATTTTTTAGGTCCTGTTTGTTTGAAATATAATAGTTTCTGATCCGTCTTTCGATATGGTCCCACAAATGCTCAATTGGATTCAGATCCGGACTTTGGGGGGCCATTCCAACACTTTTATCTTGTTTTTCTTGAAGAATTCCCATGTAGTCTTCGCAGTGTGTTTGGGATCACGATCTTGTTGGAACGTGTAGCGGCGCCCAAGACCAAGTTTTGCTACAGATTGCTTTATATTACGGGACAATATACCCTGGTACACGTGTTGGTCCATAGTCCCGTTTAAGAATTCGTGACCTCCAGTCCCTGCGTAGCTAAAGCAGCCTCAAACCATAACGCTTCCACCGCCGTGTTTTACGGTGGGGTTGAGGTTCTTCAATTTTAGAGCCTCGTCTGATTTTCTCCAAACTCTGGCACGTCCATCCGACCCAAATAAGTTGTATTTGCTTTCATCAGACCACAAGATCGAATTCCAAAAACTTATTCACATGCTCCTTTGCAAACGAAATCCGTTTCTTCTGGTTGACCTTTGAAATGAGTGGCTTCTTCCTGGCTCTGCAACTCTTAAATCCTTCAGACTTGATTACTTTAATGATTGTGTTACGACAGGTTAGTTTTCCAGTTTCATTTGCAACTTGATCTCTGATCTTAGAAATTGTCAATTTTGGGTTGACCTTCACTTTCTTGATAATGGCACTTTTTTCTCTCTTAGAGAATATTGGCTTTCGACCTCTTCCTTGCTTGTTTACAATTAGTCCACATAATTTGTGCTTCCGAATTATATATTGAACTGTTGAACGAGGTATTTTAAGCAAATTTGCAATTTCTTGTTGGGTTTTCTTCCCATTGGCATCGCCCTGATGGTGCTTGATTACCAGTTCGCGAATTGCAAATGGCGTCTCCTTGACCTTCTTCCCCATAGCCTATTTTGTACAAGTTTTCTTCGTTAATCGTAAGAAAATGATCTAAGAACAAAAATAAATTAAAGAAAGAACTTACCAAAACAAATTATTCTTTTTTTCAGCTGAGGAGCAAAAAAGATGGATATTTTATAACACGTTGATTTTGAATGCCCGCGAGATAATTTATTTTTACCCCATATTGAAATTTTTTTGAGACCTGATTACGTGACATTGTACTACCAATTGGTTGGTCTACTAGTGACAAAAAAAAGTATTTGAATATCTACTGTACTTTTTAAGAAATATACATTTGGACGATAAGCTTGTCCAATGATGGATAATTCCTGACATCAGTGTAGGTTTAGGGCCAGACGACATATCAGATATTGTCGAAGACTCGAATGTTTGTTACGACCCAGACAAGCTAATTATTTATTTACTAACAAATTTCTGTTCCTCTTTAATGTCTCGAGGTGTAAGTAATTCAGTAGTTGATTATGTAGTTAAAGAATTAGACTATTGTTTCTCCCAAGTTTCCAAAATAATAATTAAATTAGCTAGTAAATATATTGTTAATAATTTAGCAGATTTTTCTCTGGAACTAGAATCACTGTTGTCTGCATTGGACAAGTTAAAAACAGGTTATAGTCGCCAGAAACTTTACGAAACTACAAACAAAATTGTTAACCCAGTAGAAATAACTTTAGGTACTAGAGTAGATTTAAAACTTAAAGATACAAAAAGAGAGCAAGTGTTAGTTCCCGAAACGTTTATGTACGTTCCTATTCTAGAGACATTAGAAAGAATATTTTCCGAAAATCAATACTCTAAATATCTATTAAATCCACCAAAAATTGTGTCTTTCTATGAGAAATTTAGTGATTCTCAAAGTTTCAAGTCCAATATTTTATTTAAAAATTTTCCAAATGCAATTCAAATTCAGCTTTTCTATGACGATTTTGAACCTGCTAACCCAATTGGGCCAGTTCGTAGTGTACATAAAATTGGGGGTATTTATTTTATTATTAGAAATTTTCCTGATTATATCAATTCGCAACTTAACCAAATCCATTTATTGGCACTCTTCCATACAGAAGATGCAAAAAAATATGGAATAAGTTCAATTTTAAAATATATAATTCCAGACATAAAAATTTTAGAAACTGTTGGATTATTAGTTCGTAATGAACGAGTACTTGGTACAGTTTGTTGTCTTGTTCACGACAATTTAGGAGGAAACACTTTGCTAGGCTTTATGGAGTCATTTAACGCAAATTATTATTGCAGAATTTGCTGTACATCACGCAATGAGGCCCAAGATACTCTTGACCACAATAATATGGTACTTAGGGATAGGGTTAATTATACTCAACATCTGATTGACTCGAATTTTGGTGTCGTTAGAGAGTGTGAGCTTAATAATTTATATTATTTTAATTTTCTAGACAGTCCAACTGTGGACATAATGCACGACCTACTGGAAGGAGTCGTGCCGTACGAGATCAAATTAGTTATTCAGAAGCTAATCAGTATGGGCAGCTTTACTTTAGAAGAAATTAATAATAGAATAATGTGTCATGATTTCGGTTTTTTAGAGTCAAGGAATAAGCCATGGCCACTTCGTTTAGATTTATGCGGAAATAAATTAGGACAGAAGGCCGCTCAAGCGTGGTGTTTAGTCAGATTTCTTCCAATTATTATAGGCGACTTAATTGTAACTGAGGATCAGTTAAAGTATTGGGAGCTGATTTTACAATTATTGGAATGTATGAGCTTAATTTTTTGTCGAAAATTTTCTGAGTCAACAATCGAGACTATGCATTCATCAATTATTAGGCACCATGAGCTGTTTAAAACATTGTTTCCGGAACGTAAACTAATTCCCAAACATCATTTCATGACACATTACTCTTATGTTATTAGAAAATCTGGTCCATTAATTAATCTTTGGGCAATGAGGTTCGAGGGCAAGCATAATTATTTCGTGCAGTTAGTTAGCCAAATAAAAAGTTACAAAAATATTTGCTTGTCGCTGGCCAACAGGCATCAACAACATATGTCTCACGTTATATCTAGACACGATTTGAGTGACGATATGAAAATAGATATTATTTTCCCCGTGCTGTTGTCACAAATTTCGGATTCTTTTGACTTAATTGAGTTACTTCGAGGATTTAAAGGTTGCGAAAAATTTGATGAGAAGACCTCAATATTTACGACCAATCAAGTTTGGTTTCGAGGGTATAATTATAGATATAATTTTGTTGTATGTTATGAGATAGGACCAGTTTTCCCAAAGTTCGGCATAATTTCTGAATTTATTGTTTTAGAAGATAATTGTTGTTTAATACTGCTTCAGGAACTAGAAGTAAAATATTTTTATCGAAATTTGTTTGCTTATAAATTATCTCCCGTACAGGACCGCTTTAAATTAATTAACATCAGTAGTTTAGTAATTCATGACGCTATGGAAATTCAAAATAATTGTAAATTAGATGGTATGTATGTTATTTGTAGACATCACTTATAGCTAGTTTGTATTGAACCTCATATGTAATATTTATTATAATATTTTTTTAGTTTTTTCAATAAAAAAATATGCAGCACAAATTATTTTAATTAATGCGATTTTTATTTAAACCTCACCAGAGTTGCTTCCTAAATCTCACCAAACAGTGTAAAATCGATAATTTATCAGTGTCAATGGTCATCACCATCACCGTGTTAACGATATTATGGAATGGGGATGAATTCTCACCGTGTTGGTGCTAAATCTTATTTACACCAACGGGGAGGATTTCACACCAAAACGGTGTAGCCGCATAATCTCTCCGCGCGGTGTAAATCCGGTGAGGATATTTCTTGCAGTGTAGGGAAACGTTTTCTTGGAGGGTGGCTTGCAATTTGGCTTCATTTGATTTCAGCAGGTTTTCCAGGATGACTTGCTGCTGGGCAAGGACTTGATGATCTGTGGCTGCCTTTTCCAATTTCCGCCGTATTCCGTTAATTGTATCGAGTTGATTGGCGTCAGAAGTTTCCATTTTCGGGTGATTCTGTAAAGTTAAAAAATTAAATATGAGTTTTCGGCGTAATGTAAATTAACATTTGTTCGAAATTAAATTTCAAAACTAGATTTTCCATGCAAATATGTAACTTACCGAAAAATTATTTATCAACAAGAATACGTTGCCTTTGGTTATGCGAGATGCAGAAAAATGAAGAATCGGAATAACTTCATGACTCGAAGTCTTTATAGACGGAGTAAAAAGTAGGGCAGACTTGTATGACAAGAAGATAAGGTCTGGAGACAGAGCAAGTCAATATAAGTGTCTAAACATGTGCGTATTAAATAACACTTAGTTTTGAAAGTAAGCTCATTTATTTATGAATATTGTTTGTTTCGAGTAACTCACTCTGACAAATATTCATATATGTGTAAATTTACCAACTAAAAAGACAGGTCTACTTCCTCGACGAGATATTTACATGCGTCAGCGTTATCAGTATATATGTACATATTTGTTTTATTTCTTGTTCAGTGACGATACCGGCGAGTTAATACAGAAGAGATTGTTTCATGGATCTCTCTACTAAAACCCATGTTCACCTCTTCCCGAGTTTCAGTTGGAATTTGGCCAGCACCCTATCTCAAGATGCCGGAACCTTTAGATAACACCTTCCATCATCGATCAAGATGTGTACCTTTGGTAATTGGTACACAGCTTGAAATTGACACCTTGGCAACAAACGGGTCCCGCATTCTTGCAGCTACGCAAGATATGATAGCCAAAAATGAGGAAATGTTGCAAAACTGCACAAGCGGAAATCGTGGTCAGGAAGTCGTAGTTGTGGAAAATATAAACGGTTAGTTTACATTTGGAAGTCTTTTAATTGTTACCGGAAGTGATCAAATCGTACAAATTATAATTTTTTTTTCTTTTGCGTTTTTTCCTCAGAAATACATTGCTCCACTCGTAATGCACTTCCACAGAGTGAAGAAGAGGGCAAAACGTTATTGCAAAATTCACACGACTTATCCATCCATAGTATCAAATCTGTTGGTTAGTTTGCAATACATTTACGGAAATGCTATAAAATTATCAATAAAATAATTGGTAAAATCGTTAGATGAAGATGTCTCAGAAGATGATAGCATTTGCCTGGCAAAGGAAGACGCAGATGAATTAGAAGAAATTCGGAGTAAACTAGCTGAAACCGGGAAGTTAACTAAAATTTGGGAAATACGGCGCAGGAACGAGGAAAGACATCTAAGTTTACTAGCCTCCAACCACCAAAATTCAATCTGGGATAAGATATGTAAACATGTCACATTATTCAAGATTCTGCTCTGACCTTGTCTGCTATTCTTGCCCGGTCGAATTTTTTATCTAGTAATTAAGCAGTGGCATAAAACGATTAAAACGGCAGGCTAATTTATTGAACTACTTGTTTTAATTTAGGCACTCTACAGAGTTGGCGAGGCTGTATTTGGATCAGATTTGTGGCGTTATTTGTATCTATTTTGGCTGGGATTACCATGGCCTTATGGTCATTTAGCGATATAGTTAATGATGAGAAGCTGGTTAACTCGCACGACTATCACGTCGCCACGACCCGACCCAACAGCACGTTGATGCAACAATTACCAGCTTCGACACGGATCGCCGACAACAATTCTTTAGCAATTATTCCTTCATTTGGTGAAAATTGAAAATAAACGGTTTTAAGAAAGATAAAAAGTCGTTACTTACATACGTACATATTTATCTATGTACTACGCGAAATCGTAATGTATAAAAGCAATGTATGAAAATAATATTATCTCATTTTTAATAAATATGGGCCTGCAAAAGAATAAATAGTGCATCACTTTATCACACTTTACACAACAAAATAAACACAACAGTTTTAACTTTACTTCCTGAGTTGCATATGATGTACATAAGTTAGCGTCAACAAAAACAGTGATACATATTTACATATATCGTACAATTGCAATTTTACGATTGCAATGCGGAATTATCTACCAAACTTGAAAGGGTTATAGCCAATTGCATTTGTGAAAAAAGAGGATTTCCACTTTGGAACAGTACTGTCAAGGTTATGATTTTTTGAACTGAAAATCTCAAAAGCCATCTAGTTCAAAGAATTTTTCTCTTGGTGTCAAAATTTTTATTCAGTGAGGATAATTCACCGTTTCTCACAGGTCAGAATGATTTTTTGAAAAGTTATACCACGGCTCTCGCATCTGATTACCTATTGTTTGATTACCAATTGTTTATCAACCTCAATTTTCTACTACATAGAAACCTCTATGAATATTTGCGAAATATAATTTTGAGAAAACCTTAATTTAGGAATAAAGAGAACATATTTATGTTTAGGAAAATACTCCAAATATACAGGCAAATATGCATTTGTACGAAAAATCCTCAAAATATGTACATATTTATATTTATTCATATTTACATTTCATGTATTTATTACAGTTACCACATTTAATTCATTTATTTAACCTCTAGAAAATCATTCCACTGTTGTCAATAAAATTCTAACAATTCCCCTCGAAAGTCCTCTAGCAAAGAATAAGATGGATAACTTGTTAATCTTAAAGCGAGACTGGTCCCCGAGTTGTAAAGGCCTGCAAGATTTTGAAAATCTTGACATATACTTTTTGTCTTCCGTATTCCATCCTAGCCGCCTCCAAGATTTTATGGTTTTAACGTTCTGACCTAAATAGTACCCTCCAAACTGAAGAAGGGTTCCCCACCACGTAACGAACTCAATAATATACAAACAAATTAATAATATCGATTTGCCGTGCATATGTGATGCATATTGTATTAGAGTAGCTGATGGAAACATGATCAGTACGTAAACCAAAATATGTAATGGCAAAATTAACTTGCCGTAATAGTCCATTTCATAATAATGCATAAGTTCAAAACATCTGTATTCGTGTGGCAGGTTGTCCCGCGAGCGGAGGTCAAATTTAGTTCGATATTCTTTCATTCCGGCCCTCAGATCTTTAGACATTATCGGTGTTGAGTAGAATACAGGAGTGAATATTGCTTGAATGTGTAAGCTGAACAGAATGGAGGATTGGGCAATCATTATCCAGTATCCGAACGAAAGAAGAGCCAGGATAACGTGTCGATCCTCTGGGATCAACGATGAGAAATACATCGGATAACGTGGTGCTGCCGCTACATGTGACGCAAGTGCGATAGGAATGCTCATCATGAACAGGTTAATCATCACTAAGATTGTATCCAACAAAGGTCCTGAATCCTTCGTAAATGATTTTGAAATGTTCCAGTGTCCTATGCAGACATACAGTAGCACAACGAAGTTAAACAAACACTGCCTAGTTAAGCTCAACCTTTCTTACCGTAATATCTTCTTAAATAGGTTAGCAGCATGTTTAAGAGGTCAGATGTGTCCTGAGCTTGAAAAATGGTCACCATCATCAGGAGAGAAGTAAACATAACGTAACTATCAATTCAATATTCAATATTCAATTTATTAGCATTTGATATGGCCATGAGCCCTCATCAATAGAAATTACAGAGCTAGATATGTAAATGTAAATAAAGTAAAGTAGTCAGAGGAATAGTGGGAAAACCTGGCTATGGTGTAGAGCCAGGAAAACCACTATCACCTCTGGGAATGTGGCCCAGAGGTCCATTCGGCTCTGACTACATCACCCAGGCAGGACAAATGAGTGATAGGGATCATAGGCAGATTCCGCGAGGAACTGCTGATATCCAAATGAGGACGGCGTCGTGACGGCGGAAGCAAGGTGAGTGAAGGTTGTTGGGCGGGGCGTCCACGGACCACGAAATACCTTAGCGCCCTCACGGGCACGGGCTACGTGTCCCCTTCACGGTCACACAGTGCGACCAGGGCCGAGCGACACTACCCACTTGCCCCTTCACCCCTCACAGCACAACCGGGCCATGGGACCCCCGTAGGCCCGACTACACTGCCCACCGCCATGCACGACCCCGTCCCCACTCTTCTACCAACCGCCCCCACGGTCACCACCCCGATATACCAAACAATGACCTACCTGGGGGGAGTCCTCCATGGCGTAGATCCTCCCGTGCACTTGGTCCGGCGAATCCATCTTCGCCTGATGGCTCGGCTTGTCGTTGCTGGGACGGGTGTGGCAGGGGGTGTCACAGGGCGAAAAGCCTGGGACACACTTCACTTGCCCTGGCACACCCGCGACCCAGATGGAAGAGAGAGAATCCAGTTGCAGAGCGAGAGAGAGACACGTCGTGCACGGTTGGAAGCCAAAGAGGATCTCCCAACATAACGTAACTAAAGAACACGATGACATTGCGTAGTTCTTCCATGGTACACGAACTTCTGCACCTAACGGCTTGCACTGCCAAAAATGCGCCGTGAAAAAGGAATACTGCGAACGTGCATCGACACTTCCAACAAGGATACCGGGACCAACTAACTCTTGTTGCTTGATTAGCCCCAATCCAGTTCAGAGTCATTATCCCGCAGATGTTTGCAAGGCGAAAATTGATGCGAAATAATAGAAAATATAGTTTAGAAAACGGCTTCATGGTGGTGGAATGTTTCGTGTCAAAAAGAAGTTTAACATATGACCTATATTTTGACAAATTCATTTTGACTGTTACACCAAACTATCGAATTTATGGAAAACCGAAGTGCATCCTCCTAAATATGTTCGCCCTGTGTATAACTAACTCATTTAGGTACACATATGTAAGCTAGATAATAGATTAAATTTTATAACATTAAACACTCCATTAGAAATTTACAAACTTCTTATAACGATTGTCCATTGCAATACGTATGAAAACCGGATGGAAATCCGCCCCATTCACCGAATCAAACTGAAAAATTGGAAATACTTCACCACGTATGTATTTATGTAAGCATTTTGGTAGTAAATTCAAGTAAGAATTCCACATCGACGTTGTGAGACACTAGTTTAAAAGTTCCTTGGCCCTCACAATTTTCCAAAGCAAGTTTATTCAAAGTATCAGCAATTTTAACTATGTATGTCCTTTAAGCCTCTATGTTCCAGTGTGGCACCCTTTGAAGGTTGCCGTTAGCTTTAGAAACATTTGAGCTCTAAAAAAAGATCGAAAGTATCACAAGGCTACAATATCTACATGCAGATGTACAATACCTGTTAAAAACTTATTACCGATAAATTAAACGCTATTTTATTAGGCTTAGATGTAATATTATTTACGAATTTGTCTTGATTATTGGTATTATGTAGTTGGTTAGTTACATAAATGCATAAATTCTCTTGCAAGAGTAATATACATATTTCTCAAGTTTAACCAACTTAATTACGAACTAGCCTAACAAAAAAAAATTATATCGTCATAATTATACGACGATAAAAAGTCAACATAAAGCTAAACATGTACAAGCAATGTAATCAGTCCATCTATGTATTTAGAGTCCAAATTTATAGTATAAATTTATAACAATTCAACGTTTTACATAATGAGGGGAAATGACCGATACGTTCCATAGCTGTTCGCATCGATTTCATTGAATTGAATAAAATTAATTGCAAATGAAATTGTAGGTACAAGGACTAATGTACCACAGCATTTTTTGAATTATGTGTAACCACACCCCCTATAAAAATCTAGGAAGAAAGTTTGGAAAAATGAGAAAGTCAATGTAGACCGTGTAGAACAAGAGTTAGACCTATACTTTCATTTGCAATTTGACTTCCCCCTAGAATACGAACATTTTGATGCATCAAGAGTTTCAAAATTCGAAAGTTGGCGTTTTTTACGTACACAGAAATCGTCAAAAAACTCTTTGCCCCAGCCATTAGCTTCTGACAACCTGATGCCAGATTTTTCCTCTTGGAAAGAGCTACATTTTCAGCTTTTGTTGTCCGAAGCAAATGGCTGGGGCAACGAGTTTTTCTGGGTCAAAGTTTCTGAGGGAGGGGCTTATACGGCAAGTGCCGTAACAAACGAGGGCTAATGATATACCAACATTTAAGTTTTTTGTATTTTTATAAGCCAACATTTAAGTAACCCAGTGTAGTTTAATTAAATTAGACGCATGATTGATGGAGCGCGACAAAGTGCGACGGATACGACACTGACGCGCGATGGTAGTTGATACCCACCAGAACCCGAGTTTAACACTTTCACTCGCGAAATATGGAAAATGCTTTTATGGAACGCTTGGTCTGGTTTATCTCTAATATGTATGACCCGTACAGGAATTATGCATGTATAAAGATAAGTATTAAGGGAAAACAACTGGCCAGCTTCATTATTGATTCAATGCACATTAACTTGAACGGCTATATGAACATACATTGCAAATTAGCCCATATATGTATGTCTTATATCTATTATGGTGGGCATGTAACATGCCGCGGGCCTCACCATGTCACACTTATGGGAATCCACAGAAACTTCGTGAATCTTGATACATGAAAAACTTGTCTCAAGTTTCTCAGGTCTTTCTCGAATTCCGAACAATTTTTAAACCAATTCTGCCCAAAAACACGGAGATTCAAGATTAAGGGTGCAACCTGGTAATTGTGGTTACAAACCCAGTTTTTACAAATCTTTAATAGCAAGTTGAAATTCTGCATGACAGTATATGGGTGAAATTCATGCACGGACTCTTCATGTCCGCGTATGAATAAAGCTTACATTCCGCGATAGAATTAAGTGGGTACGTACATAAACATTAAGTAAGCCATTTTAACTTAAATAATCCGACGTTTCATTTCGACGTTCTTGAAATGGTCGACATCCGGTTAATTAAGGAGGGTGGTGTTCCAGAGATTTTCCAAAGGGACACAGTTTTCATCACCAATAGATTTTTTGAAAACATTCCAAAGTCCTGATTTACTCGTGTTATATATATTTTTACGCCCTACGTATTTATACATAAAGGGCATCCCATATGTAAAGTGCAGATGGAAAAACCGCCCTCATTTTGCTGTAATTAAATTTTGTTCGAAGAAACTAAATTTACACAAAAGCTTAGGATCTGTATGTGTTAGTTTTATCGTTAAACCAATTTCCTATCCCATTGTAACTTAGAGATATTAGGTTCTTCCGAGCTCCGCCGAAGGGTCGTTTTCACGGTTTTTCCTAAATGTCCTTTGCGATTCTGCTCCAAACTTTCGAAATCTTCGAACGATTGCAAACTTTTTCTCTCGTCTAGAACATTGTCCTCGACAATTGGCCCAGAAGTTCTCGATACCACGTGTTTGAGGTACATTTTTAGCGTTGTTTGGTTTTTGTGTATCTCATTCAATGTGTTCGGGGACATGAATAACCAAGGTTTTCTTTTGAAACATTGCCTTTGGCTTTAGTCTATATTCGCATTTTGCATCTACTGGAGTAGTTGCTTGAAAATATGTACGATCGGGAACATGATCAGGGTCAGTGGTCACTTAGATTTCATCATAAATAACCACGAGTTTGCTCAACCTTTTTTTGGAAATTTTTCTGCATGCTGTTTTAGCTTGATGGTGCTGGGTCAATACATTTTTCTTTGCCGATTGCTTTACACACCCTTTCATGCCTAAGACGTGAAGTTTAATTCGACATATCGTTGAGTTCGATATCTTTTGTGTTGTGGATACGGCAATCATGGAATTGCGGGAGCTTCTTTGAGAACATCCTAATTTTCTCGACATTTCCTTTCGTTGACTGAATAACCGCCTGACATGATATTTTTTTGCAATTCATGTCACCGGCAAGCTCACATCTTGTAATTATTAGGTCGACAACGAATCTACGTTTTCCTTGCCTGGCGAAGTAATCAATCGTCTTTTTCTAATCACGCCGATATGAATTTTCGTGCGCGTGAAAATCGACACTTCCGAATTTTTTGGATTCCGGCTCGTGTATTACATAGATAAGATTTTTTGATGAAATCTGAAATCAGTTATCTTAATCTACATGATATTACCTAAAATATGACTTATCTCTGATCAATTTTTTCCAGCCCGTACCCTTAAAATCAATGGTTGACCGAGCTGCACTTTACTTTTGGGATGCCCTTTATGTGCATTATTAAATTTGTGCACTCCAATCCTTACCGGAATTATTGATCACCTACATATTTATTATGTACACATATGCAGTCAGTTAAGAATGGTGTCAATTAGTAGCTAAGTTCACGCATCTGCGTATTAATTAGTGCAATTAATTCATCAGAAGTTATTTAATCATCCAAATAATTTTATTTTGGCGATAATGCTACAGAAGTGTGTATATTAGAGGATAAGTAGAATTTTAACGTCCCCAGCGATCTCGATCGTTCGAATAGTACAGAATAAATCCGGTCCGTTCACTATACCAGTTTGTATGTAACGTTACGATGAAGGGTTCTCGAACCGTGTCGTATTTGAAACTTCCGGAAAAGTACGTGTTCGTATTGCACTTCCTAAAACAAAAATGTACATATGTAAATAGATACATACTTAGATTATTTTTTCGTAAATTTAAGCAGTATTATCTTAAAACTAGTGCTGGTCACGAGCCGAGCTGAGCTAGGTGAACCCCGGCTCGGCTCGTTCCGATAATAAACGAGCCAAGCTGATCTATTTGAGCCAAGCTGATCTATTTGAGCCAAGCTGATCTATTTGAGCCGGGTTGAGATACTGAATCAGTTCAGGTCTCGAGCTCAAATTTCAACTAACCGAGTTAACTCGAGTTTTAATATGTAGATTTAGCCAGCGAGCTGGCTTAGCAAGTAATTTTCTCGCTAAACAAGAAATTAAGCTCTCTGGCTTATTAATCGAGCTGTTTTGGGCTCGGCTTGTAGCTCGTTTCATCATAATCGAGATCACTCAGACTCGCTAACTGCACTAATCAAAACTTTTACTACATATATTAGGATAGGATTGTCTATTATTTAAGCTTAAGATCTCACTTTTCCAACAATCTGACCGAATCCCCATCAACTTGATGAATATTGATGTAATCGTAGCAACTAAAGTCTTCAAAGTCAATATAATAAAGGCTCAGGCGATTCAGCATCTTTGGCTGTTCTGGATTAAGCACCCAGGATCCGAACTCGTTGGGTTGATAGCGCGCTCTAGGGTTAGGATAGGAAAATTCTTCTGCGACACCTTGCGCCCGATTGTGGTGGAAATGGACGTGACTCTTGTTACCCCCGGTCCACAGCGTTTCGTCTACGGAGTTCGAATCGCCCCGGAAATAGAGCGAAAATCCGGTCTCACTTCCCCCTAGTGTCGAGCGGAAGACAACGTAGGCCACTTGACCTTCCACCTCGTGGGTGGCGCGGTCACCGGATAAGCTGTAAGGAATATATCAGCGGAATTAATTGAGACTAGTCTGTAAAGCCCGCAAGGCGGGCTCCAGGATAGAGAGGATTTTAATTCATAACTAAGCATTTGCTGAATGACATCCATACAAAGCAAAGAGAGCGTGGACCTTTAGCATGTTGTACCATTTGCAAAAATTCCAAGGCATTAACTAAATTTGTTTAATTAAAGAACTCGAGAGTAACATAACAATAACCCGGAACAAATCGTTACGTTAAGAGACCAATTGACGACTCTAAGGGGTCTGTCGAGGTCACCTTGACTTTAGCGTGTGTCCCAAGTTATGTGAGGACTATAAGTCATTTGCACCTAGGTCACACGTCATGTGACAAATCTATGTAAAGATATCGAGTACAGAAGTCACGTATAGGTATACTTAGGTCACAGGTCAGGTGATCATTTTAAATCAGGTAATAGGTTCATAAGCCAATTATAGCGAGTGTGCCCAGGTTTTGGGTCAACTGTATAGGGGGTGTGCACATGTTACAGGTTGACTGTCCACTATAGAGGGTGTGCCGTCCAGGTTCTGGGTCAACTGTCGACTTTAATGGGCGTGCCCCTCAGGTTCCGGGTCTACTGTCGACCATAGGGAGTGTGCACACGTTACGGGTCAACTGCTAACTATAAGGAGTGTGCACACGTTATGTGTCAACTGCCGACTATAGGGAGTGTTCACACGTTATGTGTCAACTGCCGACTATAGGGAGTGTTTACACGTTATGTGTCAACTGCCGACTACAGGGAGTGTGCACACGTTATGTGTCAACTGCTAACTATAAGGAGTGTGCACACGTTACGGGTCAACTGCTAACTATAGGGAGTGTGCACACGTTATGTGTCAACTGCCGACTATAAGGAGTGTTCATACGTTATGTGTCAACTGCCGACTATAGGGAGTGTGCACACGTTATGTGTCAACAGCTAACTACAGGGAGTGTGCAAAAGTTATGTGTCAACTGCCGAGTAAAAGGGTAGTTCCCAAGTCACGGGTCAAATCTGGGGGTATACACATTTTTCTATTAGTGACGTATCCCGTTGTTCTGGTGTATTCGACGTTTTTGAAACGTTTGGACACTTTCTACGAAAAGCGCCCTCTAGCGGAGAAAATACAACCCAGTACCTAAAAATGTTGATAGGTGGCGCTGTGTGGTAATTTAAAGAACTATGGGGGTAAGGTGATACACCCATCGAGTGAAGCGCTTGGTTCAAGAGGTAACCCACACACACACACACAACTTTGCACAATTCTTGTTATGATGACAAGTCTGTGAAGCCCGCAATGCGGGCTCTTAGGAAAAACGATTTTATTATTTTATTACGAAAAACGTTCAATCACGACTCTAAAGGGTGTGACCACGGAAAAACGTTCACTAACGACTCTAAAGGGTGTGACCACGGAAAAACGTTCAGTTACGACTCTAAAGGGCGTGACCACGAAAAACGTTCAGCCACGACTCTAAAGACTGTGACCACGAAAACCTTCAGTCACGACTCTAAAGGGTGTGACCACGAAGAACGTTCAGTCACGACTCTAAACGGTGTTACCACGTATAACGTTCAGCCACGACTCTAAAGACTGTGACCACGAAAAACGCTCAGTCACGACTCTAAAGGGTGTGACCACGAAGAACGTTCAGTCACGACTCTAAAGGGTGTTACCACGTATAACGTTCAGCCACGACTCTAAAGACTGTGACCACGAAAAACGTTCAGTCACGACTCTAAAGGGTGTGACCACGAAGAACGTTCAGTCACGACTCTAAAGGGTGTGACCACGGAAAAACGTTCAGTCACGACTCTAAAGGGTGTGACCACGGAAAAACGTTCCGTTACGACTCTAAAGGGTGTTACCACGTATAACGTTCAGTCACGACTCTAAAGACTGTGACCACGAAAAACGTTCAGTCACGACTCTAAAGGGTGTGACCACGAAGAACGTTCAGTCACGACTCTAAAGGGTGTTACCACGTATAACGTTCAGCCACGACTCTAAAGACTGTGACCACGAAAAACGTTCAGTCACGACTCTAAAGGGTGTGACCACGAAGAACGTTCAGTCACGACTCTAAAGGGTGTGACCACGGAAAAACGTTCAGTCACGACTCTAAAGGGTGTGACCACGGAAAAACGTTCAGTCACGACTCTAAAGGGTGTGACCACGGAAAAACGTTCAGTCACGACTCTAAAGGGTGTGACCACGGAAAAACGTTCCGTTACGACTCTAAAGGGTGTTACCACGTATAACGTTCAGTCACGACTCTAAAGACTGTGACCACGAAAAACGTTCAGTCACGACTCTAAAGGGTGTGACCACGAAGAACGTTCAGTCACGACTCTAAAGGGTGTTACCACGTATAACGTTCAGCCACGACTCTAAAGGGTGTGACCACGAAAAACGTTCAGTCACAACTTTCAAGGGTGTGACCACGAAAAACGTTCAGTCACAACTTTCAAGGGCGTGACCACGAAAAACGTTCAGTCACGACTCTAAAGACTGTTACCACGAAAAACGTTCAGTCACGACTCTAAAGGGTGTGACCACGAAAAACGATCAGTCACGACTCTAAAGACTGTTACCACGAAAAACGTTCAGTCACGACTCTAAAGGGTGTGACCACGAAAAACGTTCAGTCACAACTCTAAAGGGTGTGACGACGAAAAAGGTTTAGTCACGACTCTAAAGGGCGTGTCCAGATCAAGAGGCGTAGTCAATTTCAAGGAGTGTTCAATTGTTCTAACGTTTTATAGACGTTTAAGAACTTGAAGCGAAAGCCCGCCCTCTAGCGATGAAAAACAACCTACATCCTGTAGGTGGCGCTGGTAGGTAAATTAAATTAGTAAGTGTCAACCATTGCGTGGGTTCCCAGTGGTCACAGGTCATATGTAAACTCAGGGGGGTGTGCTGAGGTCTCAGGTCATATGTCAAGTCTAGTGGGTATGCCCAGGTCACAGATTAAATATCAAGTCTAGTGGGTGTGCCAAGGTCACAGGCCAAATCCAAAGTCTAGTGGGTGTGCCAAGGTCACAGATCCAATGTCAACTCTGGAGGGCGTGCCCGTTCATGTGATCAAGTCGGATCTAAATGCGTGTAGCGTTAGTTAGTCAACGATTTGGAAACGTTTTGACACTTTAGCGGAGAACGCCCTCTAGGAACGAAAAATGCAACATAGTGCCCAAACTGCCGCTAGGTGACGTAAGCTTGGACAACGTAAGACACGTGTGTAATTTAATCATAATCAAGCGCCAACTGGTAACACACAGACACACACCACTGCACAATTCTTGGTTCTGATTGCTTTGTTTGAGCGGGAGTTTTTAAATTGCTTACATTTTTCCACTTTTCCCAACAACCGCTTGATTTCCAACGTTCAGGAGGGAAATGTAGGCATTGTCGTCGCTGGGGAAGTTGTCGCTGTCCAGGGTGACGAACAATCGTCCCGTTCCCGGGGATCGGATCGTCCAAACGCAAATGATCCCGTTATTGTAATGGAGACCACCCCCAATGGTGTACTGGATCTGACCGCTACCTCCTTCAAGCACACCGCCACATCCTTCGGCTACAATATGTACAAAATATCAATGTAAAATTATAAACATAAAAGATACAAAAACGAATGACAATTTGTGACTTGTTAAGCATGTGCATTCAGGGATACAGATTTGTTTTCTCATTTTTAGCTAAATTATCTCAACTGGAGATAAGGCATGCCGCACTTTAAACAAAGTAAGCGTATTATGTAACTTAGAATACGTATTTAAGTTTCGCTATTTTTCAATTAAAGTTTAATTTATTTCTTAATGAATAAAAACTTGAATCCTAAGTGGGATATAATGCATGACAGATTGGAACCTTTCAGTCTCAATTAAACCATAAAAAACGAAAATTTACTAATTTAGCAAAGTTCGCGAACTTACTTTGAATCACGTCCGGTGGTGGTCTGACCGTCGTCGTGGGTGTCGTGGTTCTCGGAGGTCTCGTTGTCCTCGGAGTCCGTGTCGGACGAGGTGGTCTTGTCGGTCTTGCGGCAAATTCACCCCCATTTTCCTTCCTGGAAATTGACGGTGACGCCACACAAATGGCGACCACGCCCAATACGACGATCAAGGCAAGCGTTGTTTTAGCGAACATTTTACTTGACTGCTCAACCGGTAAGTGGACGCTGATTTCAACCACCTTCTGCTTTTATGCGAATTGATTTTCAAGTTGCACGTGCAAAAAAACTTAGGGTGAGTTATTATCGAACAAAAGTTTCGCAATCGTGGTCATGTCGAACATGGAAATTTAATTAAAAAAGTCGTCCCACAAAAGAGATTCGGTGTGTGGAGTGTTTAATGATGTATCTGTATGTACTTCAAACCATGACGTGATACATATTAATAAATGCTCACAAATGTATGTATGTATTTACGTACCTCTGGTAAAACCGAGTCCGACAGGTGCAAATTGCATAAACATGTCACAACTTGGATGAAAAGATTGTGATGTAAGTACTTATCAATGACGTCCATAAAACGGGAACTTGTCACGTCTTCAAAAAAATTTTTGGAGAGAATATTACACTGGAGTTTATAACAAACATAGTCTCAACTTAAAAAGTGATAGTAGAGTAGACGACTATATCGCTTATGTTTTAAGGAATTTATTTTTCTTCCATTGAAAAGCCAGTTAAATTTCAAGTAGAAAGCATGAATTAAACTTGAAAATATATTCCTCATGTGGCGATGAAAAATTGGTCACGAGAGGAGAAAGTTCTATTAAAAATACGCACGAAATCAATCGACAAAGTGTATCATTCCCGGGTCAGAAATTTTTTTGTGACCTTGACAGTTATATGGGTTTCAGAACAGACCCTTTCCTCATCTTTGATCAATATTTGGTGGTGAAGTTGACTGCGGTTCGAAAATGCCAAGGTCAAACCTAAAGTGCAAATGAAGTCAGAAATATGGATTTTAATCCAGTTTTTCACGAATTTCGCTGTATATGTTAATGTGGAGCCCTTCACAAAGGTCGGTGGCTTTTCGCCCAATATGGACTAGTTGAGGGGGTGTTCCATCTTCACTATGACGTTAATCAAATATTTTTTTAAACTATCTCGTCTCCATAATCCAGAAAATTGGGCGGTTTTTGCCCAATTCCGCCGATTCCCGCCAAACCCATGAATGTAGGCCGATAAGATAACCTTCGATCTCTATTTCGTAATCCACTAACTCTAAGAACATTTAACATAGATCCTACTTCTTTTTTAGTGGAAATATGGCTCCGTCTCAAAGAAACTCCCATCTGTAGACGCGTTATTTTTTGTTTGTTTTTTACCGTACCGCTGGGAGAGGGTGTTCGATTTTTTGGCCTTAGCTTATGTTTGGGCAATTCATAGCATATGACGCTTTCTACTCTAAAAGGCCTATATCTTAGGGTCATTTGTCAGTGCTCATCTGATTTCTAAAGTTTAAACGTCATTTGTGTGGCCAAAGTCTCCTGCGTCGGACAGAGATTTTGTGCTATTCTGGTGTTTAAAGCTTCGGACATCACTGTAGTCCTCCTTGACATTGGACAACCGGAACTTTTATCTCAGAGATAGACACTGTCCTTAGCATTACTTTAATACTTTGGGCAACCAGATTGTAATTGTACTTGGACTGCTACACTACATCAAACATTGTGCATTTTTTTCTCGTGCAAAAAGTGAAAAATTATTGCCGCGCGCGTGTAGTTAACCTCCTCCTACTTTTGACCTTGTAACGTCAAGTAAAAACGGTCAACACCAATGATAGGCACTGAATGTATGCACAAACCGCAACTGACCTTTTAATTTTATGTTGACCGGTTCAAAAACTACGCTCTACTATCACTTCTTATGGTAAGACTATGTACATACATAGTTACATTTGTAGACATTTGTGCTCTGAGGGGCATGAAATTGTAAGATCTGCTTGTTTTTATGCATCGAGGCAATAGACACCCAGAATTTGGCAAAGCAAGCGTTCATGTCATTGGTAAATTGAAAAATCCGTGCATAATTTTGCCAACTTTTGCAAAATAAAGAGACACTCTTGACCTGACATGTGAGTATGTAAGCTTACAAAAATTTGTACGCTAATTTTCCACAAACACGGTAGTAAACTTTTGTAAAAGTTTCCCAAATTGGAAAGTTGACAAAGAGATTGTTGAGAAATTTATGGATACGTATTTATTGATACATACATAGTTCCATAATTACGATATTTAATGTTCGCGACGGGGTTTATTTTACGTGTGATCTTTTCCTAATTTTCGTGGGTCGAATTTTCCTGGCTTAATTGGCCCATGTCCACGACACGAGCCAAAAGCACAGGCCAGAATTTTTCCACTGATAGTAGCCGTTCTTTCACCTTCTGCCTGACTTCCCAGGGAAGGGTTGACCTCGGCAAGTTCGAACCCTACCAGGTTCACCGTTCTGTACAACTCATCCAACATGGACAGCGCATCTCGTACCGTTAAACCTCCCGGAACTGCGTAAAATTTCAAATATTTAGCACGTGCAAAAATACAATCCTGCCGAGAATCGAACCCTAACCTGGTGTTCCGGTCGTATGTCCGACCTCCAGATCGTCCAAGGAATCTATGTCGAACGAAATGTAGACGGGTCTCGTCCTCCCGCCAATCCTATTAAGGACGACGTCAACAACGCCACGAATTCCTAGTCTGTCCACATCCCGCATATTAAAGGACGCCATGCCTAATCGGTTCAACGTCTCGATTTCCCCAACGTTCACGTCACGCAGGCCAATGTGAGCCAAGTTGGCGGCGGGAATTCTGAAAACACAAATTACTAATAGGAAAATCTATGGCACAAATCCAGTAACCGATCCAGACAGGCTTGGGGTAAGTTGAACTGGTTTGGGGCAACGTGAAATTAACCGCCAAGTTCAAATGCGTTACCTCGGAATGACCCAGGAGAAATCGGTTAACGCGGCATTTGCACCGCTCAACTCTCTAATCACGAAGGAGAGCGGCATACCATGCAAATTTCCGGTAGGTGTCGTCTGAACCGTGTTAATGTCGGCGTGTGCGTCAATATAAATGACGGCCAAGTCTGGATAAAATTCCGATACGGCGGACAAAGTAGCAATCGCCATGGAATGATCTCCTCCAAACGTTAGTGGAAACCGGTTATCTTGAAGAATTCGCTTCGTGCTGTAGTAAATCTGAAAGATATTTAATTTCACAGAAGTTTCGGAATCAGATTATGAAATACATACTATTTTAAAGGTCTCGTAAAATTTCAGGCATCAATTAGATTATGCCTATGAATTTCCATCCATACAAAACTAACTCACATAACGTGTCGCCTCCGCAACGGCGGCTGGATTACGGACATATGCACGTTCTCCGTTGAAATGTTGGCCCAAGTAGACGTCCCCATAATCGAGAACATTGTGACCTTCGTTGACTAGAAACTCGACAATTCCTGAACTTCGAATTAAACCCGGACCATGTTCGACGCCCGGTTTCCGCTATAAATATCGAAATTCTTGTCAAACGATTTTGTTTTATACTGGGGGATAATTCGGGTTTGAAGCGTTAAAAATTATTTAAGCTTTCGTACAAATAACACCAACCTGCCCGGTGCGTATGGGAGCCCCCTGCACCCCGATTCTTCTCAGCTTGGGTTGGCCATCTTGCGAAGGAACCATGGACCGCGGAAAACCTAGATTGTGTATGTTTCGTATGAAAATGAGTACCAGACCTGGTTTAGGGACCATGCATAAAGAATGCATTTTGACCTTATTTTTGGGAGCCTATGTCGTAATTAATTTGTAAATCATATGATGTCTTGACCTCTATCCTCTCAAACTAAATCATACGTTGTATTCGTGTGCACGGCCGCATGTTAAATTTAGATGTAAGTTACATACGTAGCTTATGTCGATGGCGGAAACATTAAAACATTTTTTTTTCAATTTTAAATTTCAATATATTAAATACAAAGTTTGTCACGCGATTTTACGTAGCTATTTATATGCATACAAACTTTACACACACATACACGCGTTTATAAGCTAATTATGCATGTAAAGTGGACATCCATCCGCAAAAATGAGTATCAGGCTGAAGAAACTTATGTATCACCTTGAGCGTAGCCGGTTTGAGATTGCTGATAATAAGTTTGGAGGAGATTTACACAATACTCAATCTGTCTTGATTGACGCTGCAGTTTTTTCAATGTCTATGAAAAATATGAAAAATATTTTAATAAAAATACTGATGAAAAATACTGGTCAACATTCTTGACTCAAGAAGCATACATATTTTTTATGTAAATGCTTCAAACTTACCAAATTCTGCCGGAAATTTTCATGCGAAACCTGTCCTAAATGTAATCCTTCTGTGTTAAATTCTTCTTCACGGGGTACAGAGGTCGACACACAAATGTGGATAAGTCCAATAAACCCAGTAATCTGTAAAATCTTGGAACAAACATATAAAATAAGGTCAAACCTCTCTCAAGAACTTTTCACATTTATGTATGTAAAACTTTAACTGAATATGCAGATTATTTTATTCCACTTTTTTAAATTTACTACATATGTACTTCATTGCGAATAGTTTGTAAAAACAACAATTACAACCTAGTAAATAAAGCAAATTTATGTACAGTAAAATCTCTAGAATTTTTCGAATTTGAACTGCCAGAAAAATGCATATTATCCGGATTAAGTGCACTTTTTTAAATTTAAACGTTTAATCACTGCTTTACATAAATAAACTATGTAGGACGTGCTCCTTTTAATTGTCCAACAATCCAAGTTAAAAATAATTACATGCTTCCATTTTAAATATTTACCATAACTGAAACGATTCCTCTTGCCAATTTGTAAAATATTTGCACATTTTGTCCTTGTTGATACACGTCAACTCACTGAATTGAGCTTTGAAATTGAACTTTGGGTGAGAAATGAGCTCGTCAGGTTAATCTCACTCAATCAAAACTTTTGCAACAATGTATTTACACTCTTAAAAATAAAATCTAGGATAGTCAGGCAGCTATTGATTTCCCGGTATTAAAGTTGCTACCATTTGATATTAAAAGTATGTATGCATACCAGTCTGTCAGGGATGGTCAAAATTAGAAGTGAGCCGGGCTTGGGCTTTAAGTGGGCTAGCCCGGGCCCGCCCAGGCCCATTGGGCTTTGGGCGGGCGGGCCTGTCAGCAACCGGGCTTGGGCGGGCCTGGGCTTTTGAGGAACCAAATTTAGTTGGGCTGGGCCTGGGCGGGCTTTTGCCCAGCCGGGCTTGGACTTTTTAGGAAAAGCCCAAGCCCGTCTCATATTTTTTTGGGGGGTGAATGAGACACTATTCAGAATTGTAGCACACCGGTGCACAAGGAGTTCTTCATGTTTTATTAATTCACCAGTTATTTTCTTATACAACTAGAGTTACTTGTTCCTTTCTGTGATCATTACATTAGTATATATGTACATACATACGTATGTGCGTGCAAATTAAACCTTATTGTTCATGCTAAAACCGAAGCAATCACTTCTTGATACATATTCAAAATATTTTACACTTAGGATTAGAGAACTTGAAATTAGTCCCAAATACTACACAGCTTGACACAGCTATTATACTGTAATCAATTAAAAATTGAAACTCTTTCAGGAAGTTTTAATTCAGGAGGTTTAATTTTTATTTACATTTTATTAAGTAATTTAATTTTACAAATTTTGGGGTGCCCTTCAATAACTATCTTGAATGCTGCGTATTTTTGGTAATCATTCATGTAAACCTAGCCTTGACAAAAAGCCCAATGGGTAGCCCAATGGGCCTGGGCGGGCTTTTTTCGCAAAAAGCCCAATGGGCTTGGGCGGGCCTGGGCTTAATTTTTCCGGGCCTGGGCGGGCCTGGGCTTTTGAGATGGGCTTTCGAACCGGGCTTGGGCGGGCCGGGCTTTGAAAAGTACAGGCCCGGCTCACCTCTAGTCAAAATACATGTATTTTAAATGCAATTATATTTTGAAAATACAAAATACGTATTTTGTATTTTGTATTTAAATACAAAATAATCGAAGTATTTTGAAAATACAAACGTATTTTGAACAAGACATAGACAATTGTATTTTGTATTTTACAATTAGAAAAATGTATTTTCACTTCAAAATACAAAATACTTTTCGAAAATACAATTATGTTAATCATGCTAGTTTGCCACCGAGTAGACGTGGAAAGAATGCACTACAGATGGGAACGTTTCATAGACTGAGTCTGTGAAACGTTCCCATCTGTATAGATAGTAAAACGTTAATACTGAGCTCATACATACACCGTATCACAACATCAACATCAATTTGGGATTAGTCTAATACTGGATTTCTAAGAGTGTATACCTAAACCGGAATAGGTGGTGACACGCGTAATAAAAAATAGTGTAACTGTAGAGTAAGCATTAAATAAACTTGCTATTTACATAGATACATATATACCCCAAAAGGTGTGGGGACCTGTCGATAATCCGGTTTTTTCAACCACCGTATTAATTTATGATATATTCGAATGCAAAGTAAAAGAAAAGAGGGACACTGATATTTCTGCATTTCTTGCGTCAGATACATATTATCTATCTATGTATGTATCTGATAAATGCTGAAGTGGAGACAGTGATAAAATGCGTAACTGTCCTGTGTATAATAATATAAGCACACATATGCACAGAAATGAATATGTGCTCACCTACATATTAGAGGTCAACGCCGACCAATTTGGCGGCGGCGCAGCGCCTCAATGTTGAAGGAATAGGGAATTAGATTTATCGGCGGCGGCGGCTCGTAAAATCGGCGTATGGCGGCACGGCGGCGTTGACCTCTGCGACATATGAACAAGTGTACATATATGGTTTCATCGTTGTATGAAATTAATTAATGCAGTTCAGAAGACGACATATTTATATATGTATCTACACTGAAAATTGTAAGATAAGATATTGTAGATATTTGTGTTTCACATAAATATGCGGATATGTACGTATGTATAGATGGGACTCGGTGAAGTAAATGACATACATACAATGCAAACCTATTTATGTAGTTCTTGTTAAGAACAAGAACCTTGTATATACCTTGAAACAATATCCAAAATCAATATTATTGTAATTAATCTTGCGAGAAGTCACAACACAAAGTCTAGAATCGTGTTTCATGATGCATACATACATACGTACATACACAAGTTGAATACATATTTATGTATGCACATGACCGCGTGCAAATGGATGAGACAGTCTTGAGAAGTATTGTTTGCCGAGGAATTCTAATCTGTAGCGAAAGATGTTCCACGGACGCGTAGATAACTTGGCAGATCCGTGTCACGCATGCATTAACATATCGATGACCTTAATTAAAATTTGCCATCGGAGACTTGCAGAGAAAATTGTTATCTTTGGCTTGACTAAAATACAAAATTATCAAAAAACGATCAGGAAACCCTTTAACTCCAAAGTAGTAGAGGCTCCTGGAATTTTTTAGGATAAATAAATACGTCTAACACGACACATTTCTTACACCTCTTAAAGCATTAGTAAGTAAGTATGCACATTTGACATAAATTTAATTAAGGCTATATAAAGGACGACTTAAGCACAAAACTGATTACCAAAAGATATTGTCAATACATTTAACATCGGATACCCATGGTCGTCGGGTATACATAATGAATATTTCTTGTCGGAAACTTATGTATGCTGAAGCGAGTCCCCAAAATCAATATTATCTACTTATTTACCTGCTTTAATTATTCTTGCTGAAAGGTATCGGGTCCAAGAATCGTCTAAGTTGACTACGTGACTGCTTAACTTACTTATTTGCGTAAATCAGTCATGACGCATGAAGGGAATAGTTTAATGAGGAATCCTGATCCCCTGAAATGAAAGATGATCGATGCCTTAAACTGCCCCGTGTACTCTCTAAATAGATTGGCGACAAAATTGTCACCCATCAAGGTATTTACTATAGTGATCTACACAAGTATTTTTCGGTAATGATTACGGAGACGTTTTGTCCCCCATGGGACAAATAGCTAATAAAAAACTCAACTACCAAAGAGACTTGGCACCGTTATTAAAAAATTAAATATTTTCAATTAAAAAACCCTTATTTTCACATGGAATATTATTAATCGGCCCAGTAAAATAGTAAAAAGTACCCAGTAAAGTGGTAAAAACCAATAATAGTAACTGTTGCCCAGATAAAAAGTTTTATGAACCCAATATTAAAGTAAAAAGGTCCAATAATCTTGTTCACCAAATTACCTTATTAATACAATATTAAGCGTGATATGCAAATACATAGTGGTATGTAGGTATCTTTTACTCAGAGCTTGAAACTTAGCTATCTAAACAGATAAATAATTGCAGTCAGTCACCCTCTTGTTGTTCATAGTTCTTGTCAGTTTTTTGCCATGGCCTCCCAAACATTGTGTTTCGAGTTTCGACACAGGTGATTCTGAATCCGATTTAGAAAATAAACCCGAAGTTAAAAGGCGCAAATTAAGCACGTGGGAGGAGTTGAATACATTTTTAGACATTACTGATGCCAAAAACTGCATTAAGGATCGCTCTGAGTGGGTGTATACAACAAAATATTCTTCGTTTGAGGGAGACATTCTTCTATACAATTGTCGTTTCTCAGCGACGTGTTCCTCGAAATGCAGGATAGTTCTGCGAAGCTCGACATTACGGTTGACAAGTCTGTCGAGAATCACGATCCTGTACAAAAGGATAGTTTTAAAATATTGAATGAAATGTAGTTATGCAGCACTTTACAAATAATACAGAATCTTTACAAATAATACTGTATCAATAGACGATATCAATAGATATTTAATTTACGATTAAGAGAACGACGAAGTTGGAAGACTTTTGACACATACAAGAGTTGTTTAGGCAGGCTTTGGTTAGTGAAATTTAATACTCCTCAGTGGATTAAATCTTCATGCTCGTGCCCTGTATTCTTAAAAATGTATGTCTGTAAACACATAATGGGCATTACGATTGTACACAAATTGTTTGAAGTCTGTCCAGAAGCTAAAATGATTCCAATTGGAACTCGTCGCGGCCCTGGACGCCCTTCCAAAGCCAAGAAGGCATTAATTACTATGTAAAAATTTATCATCGAATAAGGTGGAGGAAATAAATATTTGATTTATGTTTGTAATTCTCCATTTTGTATCGTTTTTATGTATTACGACATTATTGGACCTTTTTACTTTAATACTGGGTTCATAAAACTATTTATCTGGGCAATAGTTACTATTATTGGTTTTTACCACTTTACTGGGCATTTTTTACTATTTTATTGGGCGTGTTAATTGTTTGCCTTTTCACATATGTAACAAAATTTTTCATATTTCTAAAATAAAAGCGTCATGTTGCATGCGTGAGCGTGAGTTTTCGACTTATTTATTTATTTTCCGTTGGTGACGCTTAATCATTGCTCAAAAATAGAGATCTCTACTAAATGCCTCCACAGGTAACAATTTGTCACCGAATTATTTAGCGTGCAACTTATTAACATATCAATCATCTAAATCTTACTTCGACTTTACAAACGTCTATGTAACTGTCGTTGACAAAATTCTTGATTAAGATTAAAATATTCTCAGTTAGAAAACGGCCACGCAACCATTTACGTCAAAACTATTTACGTCCAGGAAAAAAATTTAGAAAAATGTACACCACGGATTTCCTCCATCTTTTAAAGCGTCACATTGCGCTTTGCCGTCGCCTCAAGACCTTCCCGTTCGACATGGATCATAAAACGAATCGCCTTTACAACCTGGCTGACCCCACGTTGAACAGGCGCCAAAAAGCAATGTGTGTCCTGGCCCTGGCCTACGTAACGAGCCTTTTGACGAATCTTGTCTTGGGAAAATTCACCTTCGCCGAGAAAGCGTTAGGTTTTGCCTTCCTCGTCCCGTACGGGATTGAGCTCGCTAGTATGTGGAACTTTGGGCTGGACGAGGATCTCGTGCAAGTCATCAATTCATTCATGGAATTCGAAAAAACGGTTATGAAAGGTGATAAGTACAAAATTATATTCTTTTAATGTGAACGGTGTGAAACTTAAACAAAGTATTTAATATTTAAATTGGATTCGCACCGAAATACTATTTTGCACACATTATAATTTATATAAGTTTGATTATCTGAAACTTAAAAAAACTAGAACTATCGCCGCCCCATCGATTCCGTAAATACTCTTGATATTGATATCTACATAAATACATAGATATCCTTAATACATACATATATATCTGTATTTGTTTCAATGTCGAGCACGTTCAGGGTAAAAAAAGAGAGCCTTTTCTTGTTAAATTAGGATCCCTGATGGATCTGAAATGGGGGAATATTGCATTTGCATATTTTCAAAAAAATGAAAGAAAATTCATTCTCATTGGCTATCATATATACATAATTAGTCCCACGAATGAGAGTGAACAATTACAAATGAAAATTAAATTGTTTGCATTTAACTTAAGGGCAAGCAGTATGTATGATTAAATACATAATTAACTTGGCATAAAATTATTCCAGATGCAACCTTGAAGAAGTCCTTACAAACGAAACTCATCACATTATTCATTCATTTGACCTATATTACAATGATAGCCCTTCCTCTCGCCATTTTCTGCTTGATTCTGGTCAGACCTTGCACTCCACCTTTTCTCGGCTCCATGTTGACCAGCTGTTCTGAAATCAGCTGGTTTGGACCTGCCATCTTCCTTCCCCTATTCGAACTCTGGATTGCCATAGAAGTATTTGTAACGGGTAGTTTGTACATAGATTTCGGTCTAACAGTCGGGATTATCACACTCCTTAACTTCTTCAGGGTTCTCGAAAGGTATGAAATTTACTCTAAATCCACGCAGGATTGAACTTTTAAAGAGATTGAGAATTCGGAAAAACTACGTCACTGTCAGTCTCAGATACCCTCAAATCATGTTGACGGGGAACCTTGAGACTGGCAATGCCGTAGTTTCTCATCAATTTGTGTAAAAGTTAAATCTTGCCTGGGCTTAGACTATATTTGTATTGGTTTGTCTGCAGTGATAGAAAAAACATTCATCCAACAAACGCGTATCCCTGGCCTTATTTTTATTTCCAAATTATTTTTTAAGTGTAAAACATTTTTTTAACTAAATTTCAGCCAAATCACATCCTCTGGTTCGGTCGAAGATAATAAATTGGTCATTCAAAAGTACCGCAGCGTTCAAATCTTGGAAAAGTATTTGAACGCTTGGACCATGAAGAGAATCGTGCCTGCCCTCGTGGGAGGTGTGCCTGCCATCCAAATCATGTCGCAGTACGTTTCCATCAAGATGCACGATACCATTCCGACCCACATCTTTCTCATCTTTCCCCTCATGATGATTGACGCCATGTTCGTGAATATAATCGTTTTCACGCTGGCCTCCTGGGTTTGTGGGGCGTCTACCAGAGTCATCCAAAAAATGGAAGCTAGTATCCGAGGTGAAGTGAGACGATCCATCATGAGGAAAGATGTGAAGGCCTGTGCCGTTCTGAAGATCAAATTCGGCTCAAACTTCATCGACAATGGGACTCCGCTGGTGATTCAAAATTTTTGTTTGAACCAGACCGTGCAATTGATTTTGCTCAAATCGGCGACAAACTCGAGGTAGGCTAAGTTCGAGTTTGACACTCGATGTTCAATATTCTCCTGTTAAGTACTGTTAAAAATAAGGTTGTTCTTTTGAAATATATTCGCTCCGAATTTTAAATTCGAAATGTCCCAAATTCGGAATGCTTATACTCTACTCTTTATTAAGTTAACGTTCCTCTGAATTACCTCATAATATAGAATTCAGAGTGCTTTAAATTTCAAACAGGTAAGATTATTTTTAAAAGTGTGTATGGTTTTGTCATTTGTCGTGCTATATGTAAATATGTATATAAATGGATAAAGTAGATAATAATACAAGTATGTAGATAAATTTGAACTCGTTTATTTGTATGTAGACATTTAGCTGAAATGCATACATTTATTGTAAGTGACAGATACCGCATTATTAATTCCGAAATATAAATATGTAATTAGTAGTGCCAATCCAGACAAAATATAAAAAATATTACACTTAAATTACACTCTGCTCCGGTTAAGAATATTCACAAAAATTCTTCAATTATTCCTCATTTCCCGTAATCTGTTCATCCATTCGTTCCTCACATGAGGAAATATTTCCGGCAATCGGTGCGCTTGACGATATCGCGTCTCCACCTCGAGATCATCCAGGCTCGGAAATTCCAAATTCCACAGAGTTTTACAACTTTGCCCTTCTCCTTCCTTGGGCAGGAGACTGTCCATCAGGTCGGCGTACGTGTTCCAAAAATTATCCGCATCGTCGTCATGGTCGTCAAACAACGGCTTAATGATGATTGAACGAATCGAGGGGAGGTGAAGGTCATATTTGACCCCAAGGTCATCCCCACGACGTACTGGCGGGAAAGCCAACCTTATCCGCGCCACGTGTCCGACACGACTACGTCCATCGTTCCCACCCTGGTACCACCCGACATTCTCAAACTCTCCAAAGTGAAAATCCAAAGTCTTCAGGTTCGGAAAACATGGCAGATTCAGAACGAATCTCACCTCTGCCTCGAGATCATCCGTGGAAACGCGAAGACTCAGCAATTCCAGCGAATTTGCAAATTTCCTGATAGAATTTTCAAACTCGCGAAGATGTCGAATTTCCAGCGGTATCGTGAGCGTCACTTTTTTCAGGGGTTGGTTAAACTCCGTGAGAAAATTGACGCCATCTTCTGGCTTGCAGGTTAACACGATTTCCCTCAAATTTTGATAAGCTCCACTACTGATATTTCTCCGCATCTCCTGGACTAATCGTGACCCCAACGAAGCTCTGCGAAAAGTAGCGACGTAACCCACCCCTTTAATCGCGTCCGCCCAATTCTTCATCCAAACCGTCGACAAATTTTCGAACGAGAGGGGACGCGCGTCATGACATGGAGCCAAGTTTAGGGTAAACCGCTTCAATTTTGGTAGTGAAATCGGCCCCCACCCCGAAAATTTCCGCTCGATGGAGTCCATGTCGAAGAAGATGAAGCTGAATTTCAGATTTAATTCTTCCAGGGTGTCGCTAAACTGAATAACGGGCTTGAGCTTTAACCAGTACTCATAGTTTGAGTAGATGCCCCCACTTAGCGTCAAGGACGTCACGTGATGTCCTCTGCTTGGCTTGAGAAACCAGTTTAAGTCGATGATATACTTGGCTCCCTGGTGGTTCTGGTCGACCCCGAGGGCGGGCAGGGTTGGATAGCGAATTTTCCAGTTTGGCCAATCTGCAGGATTCTGCATTTCATGGACGTATCGCAAAAAATTCATGGATGGATTGACCTCGTAGTAAGAAGGGTCGAAAATTATGACGGATTTTGCTCGCATGATGGGCGCCACTTGTTCGTCCCAATCTCTGCAAACTAGTCGAGCGTTCTTCAAGCTTTTGAAGGGGAGGTGGGACAGAATTTGGGAAAATATCTGGAAATTTTAAGGGGAAATCTAGCATGAAACAGTTTAAAAAATTCATTAAATACGTATGTACCAGTTCATTTTGGCCTGGAGTAAAATTTACTTCCGCCCCACTCTGCAATCCCACTGACCCAGGGTTTGTTGTTCACGTCTGGTCTGCGGATCCCAGTTTATTGGGAACTGGCGTTCCTAAATTAGCCGATATTCACTTAATTATCACTTTGTGTCAGAATTTCATTCTTCAAAATAATCATTATTTTTAAGAGCACGATTATTTCATAGTATAACCCTTTTGAAAAGGAAATACACTATCTGTTACAGAATTACTGTATTAAGTAACTCTACTAAATTAGAGAGTAAAGCACGCTGCGGCGGCCTTGTGGGGCTTACTCCAACAATTCCCCAGACCTCGTTCTGCATATATTTTTACATATTCTTCCGTCCTGAGGGCTGGAAGGACCGTCAGTGAAATTTCGTTAAGCCACACCCCCTGGGGGGCGAAATGGCCCCCCGGTTGACCTTTGACATTAAAATTGGCTTAGGTTGTAGGTCTATGTGTGTGTAGCTTACACTCCAAATTTGGAAGCATTTGGTCCACGGCAACCCCGGGCGCAGTATGGCGACACTTGCAAAACCCCCCTTTTCGACCCTTTTCAACCGCTTATAATTTCGTTTGGGGGATCGACTGGCTTTTGCGGTTTGGGTGATTACATGGCAAACATTCCCGACATTGACCTCCTATTAAAACGGTAGACCACCTTTTCCCCCATTCGAAGTTATACAATTTCTAAGTTCGGGAACATTGCCTCCAAAAATAAGGGTCATCTGTCCAAAAAGGGGAAATTTATATTATCCGCTTTGCACCAAAATTGATATGCACCTCCAGCATGACCAAGGGAACCGATCCCAACTATTTATTACCGTGTCGACACTCTTCTGGCGAAAGCGTCGATGTGACCTTAATTTCATCATAATTGGGTCGTACTAGCCATGTGGCGTTTTCATCAAAAATATGTCGACGCGGTAATAAATAGTTGGGATCGGTCCCCTTGGTCATGCTGGAGGTGCATATCAATTTTGGTGCAAAGCGGATAATATAAATTTCCCCTTTTTGGACAGATGACCCTTATTTTTGGAGGCAATGTTCCCGAACTTAGAAATTGTATAACTTCGAATGGGGGAAAAGGTGGTCTACCGTTTTAATAGGAGGTCAATGTCGGGAATGTTTGCCATGTAATCCCCCAAACCGCTAAGGCCAGTCGATCCCCCAAACGAAATTATAAGCGGTTGAAAAGGGCCGAAAAGGGGGGTTTTGCAAGTGTCGCCATACTGCGCCCGGGGTTGCCGTGGACCAAATGCTTCCAAATTTGGAGTGTAAGCTACACACACATAGACCTACAACCTAAGCCAATTTTAATGTCAAAGGTCAACCGGGGGGCCATTTCGCCCCCCAGGGGGTGTGGCTTAACGAAATTTCACTGACGGTCCTTCCAGCCCTCAGGACGGAAGAATATGTAAAAATATATGCAGAACGAGGTCTGGGGAATTGTTGGAGTAAGCCCCATAAGGCCGCCGCAGCGTGTAAAGTTTGCTTTGTACATAGAGCAGAGATTAGTCAAGAGATTTCAGAATTCTTACTTCAAACGCGAAGGAAACAATTCCGCCGGAAAGGTCGAAGCAGTGTTTGGCAAAGGTCAACTCGTCGCTGAAATCGAGCCTGGTCTTAACGTCTTCGTCACATTTTTCACCATTTTTGAAAACTACGGCTCCCTGAAAATGTAGGTTTTTAATTACTTAATTAACGGCATCCTGTAAATATTCCCCCGTGGGGACATCTGGGGACATTAACATTATAGGATGGGGGAGACGGGGACATTGTACCTCTGTCCCCATGCTTCCCACCGTTCATTCCAGGAACTTAACTAATTAAGTATTTCTCACCTCGTCCGGTTCTACCCAGTAATGGTCACGTTCGCATGAAATTACCAGGGTCGGAGTCCAGCCCAACTTGAATTGGTTTGTCGGAAGAAAGACGAAGTCGTACTCGGACCAGTTGTAGTACTTGTCGCCAAGTTGGTACTATTTACGACCAGCATAATTTAAATATATCTCCATATAACTTACTCGAGCAGTTAAAAAAACGAAATTGAATTTAAAATTTAAAAAAACTCACCTTGCGACCTTCCCGATAAGGCAGAATAGCTGGCAACATGTCGCCGTCAGAAGTGAGTTTGGATGCAAGAATACCATCCTTATTAACGGGGGGTAAATCGTCCTCCATAATTCTCTCAGTTTAAATAGTATGTAGATGTTTTAATTTAATTAATTGTCTGCAAACAAAATTGGATAAATATTTGGTATTTGCTGTGTTGACAAGAATAAAGGGAAATGTGAAATGAAGGACAAAGGATGAAGGAGAACCAAAACCGGCTGAGGGCTGAGGGACCGTCTATAAATTACGTAACGGAAAAACCTGATTTGCTAAACTCCCTCCCCCTTTTAATATGCGTAACATTGACACCTTAGACCCCTCTCTTGAGATACCTACATAGATTTATGGACGGCCCCTGGTTGGTGGGCCACAGGAAAACTAAATAGTGCGGTGAGGAAAGAAGCATCTTAAGGGTACTGTGGATGACGCGTTGGCGCGTATTAATCTCCCTCTACCCATACACAATGTTTTTAAATGCAACTTCAAAAATTGAATCAATTTTACATACATACAAGTCGTTCTTTAGTACCCAATTCGTTTGCCATTCAGTCACAATAAATTTTCTCAAACATTAATTCGCTAATTTTTTTCAAAATGACTTATTTGTACATATGTACATAGTACCAAAAATTAACTTGAGATTAAAATATCAAATGTTGCATTTATCTCAAAACTCAAAGAATTGATTCTATTTTAAAGACATTGAACAAAGGTTGAGTGAGATTACAAACATTATGACGAAGATATTCGGCGTTAACGTTCCTGGGACGAAAGTTTTAGGCTTCTTTTAAAATCGGTCAAAATAGGATAAATAACTCTCAGTATTCGCAGAGTACCGAATGTGTTATTACGTTTTATATTTTAAAAAAGCTGAACGACCAGCGCCTCAGCATAATATTAAAATATTACGTACTGTACATATCCAAATTAATGTGTGCGTACGTAACCGCTGTGCAACCCCGAAACGCTTGTGCATGGGACGTACCTAGATATGTACATGCATACATCGACAATTTAGGTCGATAAACATAATTATACTAAAATTGAACAAGATATGTTCTGTGCGGGTGGAGCTTAGCTCGTGAAAACCCATTCTTGCGCATCCTTGTCCCTGTTAAGTGAGCCGCAACACTGGGTTTTCACGAGCTAAGCTCCACCCGCACAGTACATACATATCTTGTTCAATTTAGGTACATATGTAGTTCTCAGCAATTCGATTTTGGAAAGTACTCAGATATTAATACATATTTATGTAAGTATCGGATTTGCATATGTGCTCTGTTGTGTTAATGTGTTACTAAGCTTATGCATGTACGCATTTAGCAAAAAAATAATAGTCGCATTTTATTGAGGCAATTCGTGTACTGTTTGATATTTTAAAATGGGATAGTTGTATAAAATGATTTAGGAAACGCTTAAAGAATAAGACGAGTTCCCTGGTCTGAGCAAATTTAAATAAATTTGTAAGCTAATTTTCATTAGAAATTAGGTTAAACTTCCTTAAAAGTTTGTAAGTTTACAAAATTTAAGGATTTTACAATGTGAGTTGTTTCACTGTGAAATTCGTCCCACGTTACAAGTCACAGGTTTACTCCATCGAACTAACTTTATGCTAACTTGTTGTTCCAATTTCTATCTAGAAATGAACGTGTCTCAAATTCTTTACATATTTTCAAAATGTTTTGTAATTTTATATCAAACCTCCTTGTTCGAGTGGGAACATGGAGTATCAGACACTCCACAAATTTTCATAAACAATTCCGTTCCTCACTACACACATGAACAATTCCACTACTATTATAAATTTTTCCTAAAAAATGAAGTAAAGTATCGAGTCGAAAAGCTAGCAAATTTCCAATGTTTAGTGGAACTTGAATATGGCTGGTCTCCCATTCAAACGCATATCTTTTACGCACCCAGACTTGGATTTGTATTTCCTCCAAGCAATTATCATCATGAAGCTGACGAACTTGATCACAATTATCCCTTCAAAACTTATTTACTCAGATTTCGAGTACTTTTTGTCGAAACTTGCAATGACCCAAGGTGCTGGACTAATTGGATTGCTTCCATTAGCAACTGGGGTCTAGGTGACATGTCTATGGCACACCGAATAATTGTAGAACTTGCAAGTGACAAGGACAACCTCAAGTCAAATGTCTGGCTAATGTGTAAATTCTGTCATCCTAAATTTTTTACTCTTTTGCGCTTCGACAATTTTGCAACCTTCTACGATGTTTACAATGCGTTTTCGAATTCGGACGCTTTAGCGAACCAAATTTCTTGGGAGATTAAAGATCCTGCGACATGGTATCAAGTTCTAAATGGTTTAGCTCCAAAGTCCAAAGGTGAAACTCCAGCCTGTTTCGAAATTAGAAAGTATCATCACCAGCGTTGTGTCCCGGTAGAGTATATCCTTCTAAAAGCCGTGATTACCTCGATATCTACGTATCGTAATGTGACTATTCATAGCACTACTAATTCGTTCGGGGAAAACGTAAGATCAGGGTTCGGAAAAACCCAGGGTTTTAATCAAAAAGTAACGACCCAGGGGTTTTAATGGGTTTTAATGGGTTTTTTGGGTTTTAATGGGTTTTATGGGTTTTATTGGGTTTTATTAGGTTTTACATAAGTAATACATTGAACAACAATTTTCACTACTATTGCAATCCAATTTCAATTAATATGCAAATCCTACTTGTCCATGTTAGAATTTGTATCCGTTTCGAAATAGTCCTGTTTAACTGATCATAATTTAATACTTTATGAGAATATATATTACCTTTTTCTCCAGTACTTCCTCTCATCATAATGAAATCCAAGTTGTTTAAAAGTTTTTAAAATTTAATATTTCAATGCGATCTTAACGTGTATTATCAATTCTGGAAAAAATCGAGTACTTATGAACAATGAAAGTACGTATGTATTATGATCGAGAATATAATAAGTGCTTTTTACGGACACACTTCTTTTGCTCATAATAAAGTACTTCGCTGTCCATCAGTACTCGATTTTTCCAGAGGTGATAATTAAATCGACTTGAAACATTTTAAAAAACTTTATAAATTAAAAAATACTACAGTATTTTGTTTAATTTATTCGCTGAGATGAGAGGAAGTATTCGGGAAAAAAGTATTAATTATGACAGCAAAATGTAAATTAAATGTAATTAAATTATTATTTTTAAATATTTTTGTCACTTGAAACTTGTAATGGCACTCGCTGATTTATTCCTGGTTTTTAAAACTTACAGTATTAATCAAATAAACTGCTTAGCTGCCATGAAACAACTTCGTCTAACGTACGACAGCTGTTTTCAGCTTTTAGAATATAGTTTTAAGCTGAAACACAGTTAAAACCCATTAAAACCCGAATAAAACCCATTAAAACCCAAATAAAACCCATTTAACATGGTAAAACCCAATGGGTTTTATTCGTTAACAACCCATTAAAACCCATTAAAACCCAAAAAACCCAACCCAATAAAACCCTGGGTCGGAATACCCTGCGTAAGATACACTCTCCTACAACCTTTCGATTGTCGAGGACAATGCCACTATAAATTTATCAACATGGAGCCTATTATACCAACCTTGCAAGTTTACGCAAGAGCGGGTAAATTCGCGATTTATAAGGAAGATGCTTTCGAATTTGTCACTTGCGATGGAATAAAACAAACCAGGGAAGCGATAAGTTTCGCTGGTTACTTTGGCGCGTTTGACTACTGGACTTGGATGTTTTTGGGTATCGCTACTCTAACGACGCCATTAATTATAGTTGGCATAACTCAAATACCAGGCATTATCATCAAGCAGGAGAGATTTGACTTACTTATATTATCATGTCTCAAACCGCTGTTAGAACAAGGCGACTCTTGGCTGACAAACCCTACCCGAACGAGATTCATCTATCCACTCGTGACGACATGGATGCTTGTATCCATCGTGATCAGTAATGCGTACAAGGGTGAGAATATTACAAGCTTGACATCTCCAAATAAACCCAAGCTCGTAGAAACGTATCGAGATTTATTAGAAGGTGGATATATAATTTATTCCAAAGCTTTTAGCCCAGCTACAGTAAGTTCTCTAAACGACCTTGTCCCGCATGAGATCAGTTTCAAATTTAGCGAAATTGGCCTTGAAATGGGTATATTGATTGATTCTACTATTTCTTATTTGCAAGATGCACTTATAACGTTCTACAAAAAATTATCCAAGAATGTTCACCTTCCGCCGAACATATTTGAGCTGATAAAAGGCAGAACAAATTCGTCTTATGTGGACGAAATTTCAAACTGTAACAAGACCGTTCTAGCCCTGCGATCCGACCAAATCGAGGAACATTTATTACTTCTAAAAACAAGAAAAGTTTCAAGGGAAACTGTAGTAGAGGGTAAAGATAAGCTACTGAAAACTGCTGGCGGGTTTATTTTGCAAGATTGGACAAATAATAAAGTGCTCGTAGCTTTTAGTGCTTTAGTTCATTCCGGAATTTGTTCAGAGTGGATGGATAATTTGAAGTTTAATAGACTTTTGCCCCTAAGGAAACTGGCCGCTAGGGTGGACCAATCCAAGGTAAAATGGGCCGGAATTGGAATTGCGGATAACGTCGTGACTATATTTTATGTATTGGTGGTGATGAATATTATCGCGGCAACTTTCTTCTATATTGAATGCAAAGTGAAATCGTGGAAGTCTTGGTGTAGGTTGATACATATTGTAGTTATTAATTACTGGTGGAATAGCTGCAAAGGGCAACGCTGGCAAATTTTTCGGCGGCTAAAATTATGGGGGTTTTTGGCTACGCGGCGTCATATTGTGAAAGCTTAAAATATAAGTTGAATAAATATAAGGCATGTCCCAGGTT